CAAAATAATTAATTTTATTTATAGTATTAAATATGATAAATATTTTGAAATAGATGGAGTGTTTTTTTAGTTGACTATTCTTCTGGTTAAAACGAATTTACTTTGGAATTAACATAAGAATTGACACTGGTCAAATTAAACATTGAAGGTGAAATGTAATTGGTGTTTAATTTGGGTTATTAGGTGTAAGTATTTTGGATGTTGCTAATTGTGACCAAATTGTGGGCGGCAAAATATAGGGAGAAAGAGGAGTTGTGTATGGACCATCCAAAACAAAATGCATAGTGAATTGGTGTTTACTTATCCCGTTGCCTTTTAGCTAAAGGTGGCATTGAGGATTGAAGATGCTTACTTTGCTGCAGCATCGCAATGGGCATTTTTTTTTAGCAAAGAAAAAATAAAAATTAAAAAAAAAAACGTACAATTCCATCTTCTTCTTCTTCTTCTTCTTCCTCTTATGGCTTCGTGTTCACCGCTCGATATGTTCGTAAGTGCAACTTTCCATTCACGATCCCACACTCCACTTTATATCGCTAGCAGCCAGTCGCTTGTACATTATAAATGCTTTAGTACGCACCCAGCTCATAAAATCAATAAAATACTAGTAATTAAAAAAGACTATAATTATCGGAAATCACTTCATAGAAATTTGAGTTACTCAAATTATCTTGTTCGATATATCAACTATTAGTTTTCATCACTTTAATTCGAATAAATTTAAATTTGTTTTGTCAGGATCATATATCAAATTGAGAGCTAGTTGCATCTGAACCATTTAACCTAGTACTTCCTCCGTCCCATAATTATTGTTCAGTTTGAGTTTTTATTTTTAGTTTAAATTGTACTAAAAGTGAAATTTCAAACTAGACAATAATTTTGGAACGGAGGGAGTATTATTCGGTCGTGGTTATAAGGAGAAGCCATGCATGATCTTGGCTTTACCATGAAAGGAATTTAGGGTTGCATTAAATTTATCTCACTTCTAAACTTGGATGAAAAGGCATCATTAACTCCCCATCTGAACTTTGTATTAGTGTAAATGCCTTCTTAATGGACTATTCTCTCTTCTTTTTAATTAAATTTTTAAAAGGCTACTAATATGTGTTTTGCATAAAAAGAAGAAGAATCACATTAGTGATTAGTCATTGAACTCTATGGCGTTTTTTTGGCTCTTCTTCGAATAGAAAAGCCTATGAAAGACCTATTTAATATGAAGGCCACCTGTGTGATCTGACTTAGCATTGTCCTGTCCCCTGAAATAATTGTAGTAGTATTAACCCAAGTCTTTTAAGTGTTAAAATTGGATTTGCTCTCCATCTCTCCCCACCTCTCTCTACAATTATTATTGTTATTTTATGTTAGTTGAAAAGAAAAAAAAAAAAAAAACACACATTTGATCAACCTATCTAATTACCCATGATGATCAAGCATAGTCAAGGAAAAGTGGCGTTGATGATAGCAAGGTGATGGGCTTTTTGTATAATATGTTGACAATAATAATAATAAACAATCATCAACTTTTGTCCCAAATCATGCATGGGAGTTCGAAATCACCATTTTTCTTTTGTCTACCCAATTTTTTATTTATTTATTTTTTTTTTGGAGCAAGTGTTTCAGAAAGTTCTATATTTGGGATGGTTTGTTAGGTGTGTCATATTGTGGGATGGGTCACAATCGTCATTTTATAAAATTTAGCCTAATTTCCACGCACGCTTTTGAGTGGATGTAATTCGTTCCCTTCCTTGAATCCCAAACTATTATTCATCAAATGGGTGGTAAAGCCTACCATTGACGCTAACCAAAGAAAAATCCTATGCCCAATCTTCCTTCTTGGTCATGAATCTGGATGTAACCGATTTGGATTAGAACTTAGAAGAATTCATTTCACTGAGTTATGACTTTGATATTGAGACGTGAGAGCCTTAGAAGATGCACTGCTATCTCATGAAAACGTAATTGATCATCTATTTTCTCAAACTCAATAGAGACTTTCTAGAAAAAAAAATTTTCGGATATTAAATTTTATTAGTCGCCTTTATATAGTTTTATCTGTCAAAGTACTACTTCCGTCCCAAAAAAAAATATTCCATATTGAGTTTTCATATTTGTACTAAAAACAGTACAAACCTTAAAATTCAAATGTAGACTATTTTTGTGGGACAGGGGGAATATATAAGTACTTTGAGTTCACATCTTAAAACCAATTGACAATGAATGAGATGGTCTTTGAAACTTATATACTGAGTCATTTCTCTTCACGGTGACAATGTGGGATAAGATAATACACATTAACATTATCAGTCCTCATATGTAATTTTATCCTTGAACCCGATTGACAATGTAAAAGATATATTTTACATATTTAATTAAGCTATGACTTGGTGATGTAATGCGCTATATGAGATCAATATTAGTATAAGAAACATACTCGCACCGAGTTCCAACATAATTTCAAAACACTCTAAAGTTTTAAGAAAATTTTCTCAACTAAGGTATTGATAAATTTCTCGTAGTTGACTTTTAGATGCTTATGCGTTGACATGAACTATTTTGGAATATTCATCACTATTCATTTGAATTAAGGTATCTCATATTATCTAAAAGTCAACAAAATTAGAATAAGAAGGATACTTTTTTTTTTTTTTTAATTTTACAAAAAAGGGAGTTGTTGTTAGCATTTTCTATAATACTACAAATTTCGCCTTCTGGAAAAATTTTAAAAAATAATTCACGAATCAATGAATAACTGACAAAGAGCCATTTACACAATGGCTGATGTTACTAAAATTCCAACATTAACAACAAAGGCATTGATCGAGTCACTCGCATTTGACCTTCACAAATCTACACAGCATGTGTCCATCAATTATTGATAGTGAAACATTATTTTAACCCTAGAGCTTTATGTGTATGATTTGGTTCTGATTCAAAGAATCTCAAATGATAATTAAGATCAATAAATTAATATTACTAGTTGGCTTTTTTCTGCTGATCTAAACAAAAAAAGAAGAAAAAACTAAATGGAATGGGCATTATTTTGGTCACGATCGATGACGTACTTTTAAGGCACACTCTAGCTATTTGAATAGGACATAAATGGTAATTTAATGATTCTAACATTAACTTCCACTGCTTCGTTGAAAAAAAACATCAATATGAATTCACCTATAATTATAACTTTATTCCAATGAATCAAGTTAATCAAGTGATCCCAGCATGAAAGGGTAAAAAAAAAATCGATAATAATCTTCCCTTCTTCTTCTTCAATAAAAAGAGTCATGCTTGGTAATTTAATTAAGCCCGTATAACAAACAAGACTTCCGTTTAGCCAGCAGAGTATAACATTGGATTCTCTAACTATGATTTTTGCAAATACTTGAAGAAGTAAAATACCAAGGACAACTCACAATAATGAGCATCTAATATGAGATTTTATTTTTTAATTAATACAAATTGTACTATCAAAAATTTAAATTCATTCATTTTAAGACAACAAAAGTAATATAATTCGTTTGGTGAAAGGAATATACTAAAAAAAGTTATTGTAGAAGGCTCGAGGTCATTGGGTTTGGGACCTGAAGTGTCTCAAATTCTGTATCTTTTGTATGTTCTAATATAATTAATGCATTAAATATGAAAATTATTTTCGAAACAAAAAGACTACAATATTCCAATCTCACAAATTAATGTAATAATAATAATAATAATATAGTATATGCGAAGTGGCAACCGAAAATGAGAATGAGAAACCATATTATATATGGTATAATCGTACGGATCAGACACAGATATAAACTTTGTTGTTTGCTCTTGGAGAACCGTAAAAGCCATTGATCGAAACTAAACAGATGACCGGCCGGTTTTTTTCCCCTAGCTCCCATTGGACGTCCCCAAAGGTTGCCATGGTTGTAGACGACGACTTAGCAGTTGGATCAAGTCAACTATTTAGAGTGACGACTCTCCATTTCTTTTATATTTTTTAGTTCTCTGCAGGTATCCAATATATATATATATATATTCAATAATGCTAGCACGAAGTATATACGTTGCAACAAATATCTTTCATTCTTAGCAATGTGGGATCAAGAGATAGATTCATACCACATTGGTAAAACTTTATATGATTATAATAGGATAATTTTATCCGTTTTTTTTTTTTTTGGTTTACAGTAATATTTCCAGTCAAGTCTCCTCCGATCCCTAAATTTCCAACCCGTATCATGTATTAGTAGAATTAATAGATATTCTTTTTCTAAAAAAAAAAAAAAGTGAAATATTCCACTCCATCGTATTGTTCTGATTCTTCTTCGTTTATCTGTTTCTTTTTCCATCTCTACAGCTCAGAATGATTTATACTAAGAAGTTTTAATTAGGGCATTGAACTGGGGGCTGTTACTGTTTTCCATGATTAAAGTCTGGAAGTCTAGAATAAGGATATAATAGGGGTACTTAGGCTTCTTTTTGGTGGGGCGGAAATGAATTCGGATATATTTCTTACGTTATTGGTGGCAAATGGCACTATTCACAAAGTTGCTAATTTTTTTTAATTTTTTTTTAAGCAATAAAAAGGCATTCTTCGTGGCTACCTTTTTAATTATTTGTAATTTTTGGAAGGGGAAAAGGGTATTTACACCAAACCACTTTAATTGGATGCCAAAATCATTTGGTTTCTTTTAAGCTAAAAGCTCAAAATTGCTTTGGCATAAACCTAAAATGCATGGTGTACACCCACCATGTTTTTGGCCACAATGGATTTGTGTAAGTTATGAACTAACCAACTTTTTCAATTGGATCAAATGTAGTTCCTTCCTGGTGTTATTGCAATTCGACTTTCACCCAATTTGATCGTTTGTTACAAATGAGTTTGTCTCTAACGGATCGTGTTTCAGTTTTATTTATTTATTTGGCAAATAATTTTTGTTTTTTTTCATTTGATCGAGTGGAACACAAAATACACCATGTAAAAATTGTAATATAAGAGGAAGAAGAATAATTATCTATATTGCTTTAGTGCTTTTTGAGAAAAGGCAAAAGAATAAATTATATATATATATATTTTTTCCTTTTTTTTTATATCGCAGGGATGTTCACCGTCGACAACAGTGACTAATCCTCATCGCTCATGGTAGACACCTCGATAGGTGAGAGAGCTGGCCAAATGATTTAAGATTGCTCCATGCCCATGACGAGATTCGAATCATTGACCTATGGTTAAGAGTAGATGAGTCCTTACTACTCCACCATAACCTGTGTGCTTATAAATTGCTTTGTTCTCTGTGGGAATGAAACCGACAAACCCAACCCAAATGACTAACAACTATCATGGGCCCAAAGCTCAGGGAAATGTGATCCTGGAGTGTTCATTAGACAATTTCGTCAAAACTTTAACCCGGGGAGGGTAGTATTTACAGTTTACAGTGTAAACTTGCATTTGGCAGAATCAGATTCCATGGCGCAAATGATCACATTCCTCCAACCTACCCAGAAACACAAGGGGAGAGAATCGGGTTATTCATTCATTCATTGAACTAAGAGAAACCATACCCATAAAGGAACTGATTGAAGTAGATTAGGTCAGTTACTTACAGGGAACCCAAATGAACTGAAGATAAATGAGCAATCTTGTGCCACTCTGAACCATTTCCTCTCCCGCATCTCTTCTCTAGAACAGGACAGAACTTGATTTCCAGAATAATTAAGTCGGTGAGACGGCGAAATGCTTCGGCCGAGGGAAGCTGCCTGAGATTCCTGCATGCCAAAATTCTCAAGTGCTGAAGATGTTCCAAGTTACCCAACCACTCAGGCAGAGCTTCCAAACCATCAAAACCACATATCTCCAATCTCATCAAAGTGGTAACATACTGAATTTGATAAGGGAGAGATGTGACTTTCGGCAATCTACCATTTCCATCCAATGTAAGTGCTGTGAGAGATACATCATTACTCGTTGGAGTTGAGATGGTAGGATAAGGCCAAGGGAAGCAGTCGAGTTCGAATCCTTCCCGAGCTCTAATGCTGATTATGTGGTGAAGATCCTGATGGCGCCTAATCGTCAAGGACTCAACCAGGGCCAATGTCGGGGTGAGGCTGCAAAATGGTGCACTCAGCTTGCAACAATCTTTGATCCAAAATTGGCGTAACGATGGGAAGTAGTAATAATACTGATAGATATCTGAACCCGAAACAGGATCTTCAGGTGAATGGCTCAGCCTCTCATCAGGGGACCCGAAATTTGTATTTCCACCCCCAATTCGTATTAGTCTCAAGTGCTGAAGACTTGGAAGATTACCCAAATTGGGGAAAACACTCAAATTGGGTATATCTGAAACCGCTAACTCTTCCAGATGAGGAAATACATTTACTTGAGTAAGCAGTGGTGAAGACTGTGGTGTTGGATGAGAAACAATTGCATCTGACCATTTCACTACACTTTTCATATCAGATAACTGAAGTTTCCTCAATGCAGGAAAAAGGGTGATTTCTGATCTGCTACTTTTTGTTGCCCGATTCAGATTCGACCAACCATAGAATTCTTTTCCGATGTACTTCACATTGTTCAATGAGAAAATCTCCAGATGCTCGAGATGAGGCAAGAGTCCGAGTGTCGGGAGCCTTTTGCATTTGTGTAGCTTCCCTAATTTCAGCTTCACCAGATTTTGAAGTATCACTGAATCATTCTCGCCTGTCATCCACGATGGAAACTTCAGACTTTGATATCCGTTGATTCCTAAACTCTTCAAACTCGAATGCGGTTTCAAACCCTCCATAACCTCCGCATCATCACAGCCTTCTTCCCTTCCACGCCAATAATCCCAATGGAGTTCCAAGGTTTCAATATTTGACTTACTTGACAAGTTGGACTTGATAGCAGATGCATAGCTTCTCACATTTTGAAGGCCTATTATTTTTAGTTCACCTGTCAAGTTGTCCAAATGTTCTAGCTGTTCCATTTGATAACCACCATTGCCTCCACCCACCTTAAATACAGACCATTTTTGAAGATTTCTCAGTTGGCCTAATCCTGGAAAGAAAATCTTGTAGAGGTCCTCTTCATTGTACGTTTCAATTCGCCTTAAGTTAATCAAATGCTCAAACCCTTTCGGCACCTGGCACAAATTGAAAACTCTTAGAGTTTGCAAATAGTACAACTTTGTGATTGACTGTGGGAGTATATCTATCCTTGTATGGCTAATGTCCAAATATCTCAAATGTTTCATCATACCAATGTCACTCGGTAGTTGCGACAAATCCCAATTTTCAACAATCAAAACCAAGAGGCACCTAAAGTTTGGGAACAAATTTGCAAGTGCAACCAGGTTAACACCTTTTGCATGAAGGGTCCGTAAATTTGAGGGAAGAATACCTTTCAAGCTCTTGCGCATTCCATTTTCACCAAAATGAGCCAATATGTGCACAGCTTCAAGTTCATTGCTTATGGATTTCCAATCTTTGATATGAAAGCAGTAATTCTCCGACACTTGTAATGAAACATCATGCACCAGGTCATGCATCTTGAAATGCTCGACATTGCTGTCACTATCCATTTTATCTTCTCTAGTTTCTTGCAATAAAGAGTTCCTTAGAAGTATATTGAAGTAGATGTTACCAATGTCTTCCATCCGCAAAGGACTTCCTCTTGGAGGATTAAGTAGCCCTTGAGACATCCAAAGTTGTATGAGCTGATCCTTCTTCAAATTTGTGTCCTTCTCAAAGATAGCACAATATGCAAAGCATTGTTTAACTGGCAATGAAGGCAAATAGTCATAACTCAATTTGATGGCAGACAAAACTTTGTTTCCTTCACTAAATGTACTCCATGTTTCACTTCTTGCAATCATTAACCAATCGTATTCAGAATGCTTAGAGTATAGTAAACCTCCTATTGCCTTTATAGCTAAAGGCACACCTCCACACCTTTTTAATATCCTTTTACCCATTTCCATCAATTGTCCTGTCTTTATAGGACCCCCTTCTGCAAATGCACATTGCTCAAATAGAGACCAACTCTGGTCTTCTGAGAGTATATCAAGTCGATGGAGTTTAGATGCTCGCATTGCTGAAGCAACATTCTCGCTGCGCGTGGTGGTCAGGACCTTGCTATCTTTAGAACCACCAATTTCAAGTAAACATGTCCTCATCCGATCCCATTCATCACCATTATCATTCCAAATATCATCAAGTACCAGCAAATATCTCTTACCTCTTAGATGTTCTTGCAGCCCACTCACTAAAGCTTCTGTACTTGCCAACTGATGATTGGCCTTTGAGAGAGATTGCAACATTAGACATAACAGTCTTTCGACATTAAAATCGTCAGAGACACAGAGCCACATCAACTTGTCGAAGTAACTCTTGGCAGTATCATTTTTGTAAACCAGCTGCGCTAGGGTTGTCTTTCCTTGACCACCCATCCCTAGAATAGCAATAACCGGCAATTCCTTTTCATAGTCTAAGCTAGTTAACATGTTCATCACCTTTGAGACATCTATATCCCTCCCCAGAATCACTGAATCCTCAACAAAAGGATCCGTTTGCCTTTTTTCTTTAAAAACAGGAAGCGAGTTTATCATTTGGATCGGCTGAAGGCCAATTTGATGCGATTCAACATAAATTTCTTCTAAACATGAAAGGATTTCCTTCATGTTATGGGCCATTTTTCGGTGGAACAAAATAGGATTAGAGGATGACATGAAGCTGCGCACCTTGTCCCTCTTTCGCCGGTGGATCTTCTGGCGAAGTACTTCATATTCAAAATCATCCAACACAATCTCAATATCAAGCGAAACCGACTGTAGCTTCTTCAGCCAAAGTTGGACAGCTCTGCTAACTAGTTGCTTGTTCTGAGCATCTGTGAACAAAGCATGAATCATCTCTAACTTATCACCAAGCTTTTGGAGTTGCTTGTTGACACCCCAGACAAGACTGATCTCCTCAGCAGCAAGAGCAAAGGCCTTCTTTAACAAAGGTTCAAGTACAACTCCAAGTCCTGCTGAAGCCATCCTGTTTCAGCTCCCACTTCCACTACTGAAACAGAATAAGATTGGCAAAATAAACGAAATGCACTACAACCGTACTACAAAACCTCTTTTCTTCAATGAGGATATGGCATCCGATTGCAAATGGTGTTAATCATTTCATGCTCATATGACAGACAAACTGACATTAAAATAAAGAACCCAACAAAAACCGAACCAACTGCATCTATAATTCCATTGATTCGTTCTACTATAACTTCAACTAGTACTAACCCAAAATCAAATGTCAACGCATCAACTAATGAAAAAAAAAAAAAAACAATAATAAGCATGTTTTCTTCACAAAAAAATTAATAATAATAATCATGTTGCTTTGCCTTTCTCAATAGCATCGGAGAAATTCAACTGAGGCACATTGAGCCATGTTACTTGTCTCCCCACCCAAAAACAAAAAAAAAAAAAAGGGAAAGAGAGAGAGAGAGAAGAGACAACAATATACCTTCTTCATATGTATAAATTTCCATTTGCGAAGGATGACTGTCATCATTCTATTGAAGGGTGCACCAAAAGAGAGGAATACTACGAGCCTTTACAATATGATTCTCTCAAATCCCCAAGGCGATTGATTTGAGCCTTTCTGTTTTGGTTTTGGGTTGGATAACCTACTTAACTGAACACAGGATCAAATTAAAAGCAACCAGAGGAAGATTTTAGAGAAAATAAAAATTAGAGAATTTTTGCTAGGATATTTCAAATGATACATTATTCATATGGTAATCATTTTGTAGTTAAGTACTCCCTCATCTAAGCCTAACAGAAATTAAATTTTTATATATTTCGGTAGTAGGAGAAGCCAAAAACGTCATGCTCTAACCACGGTTTCCTCGTTTGAATTCTAATTTTTCACTTTTGTTATGTCATTTTAATTTATCAAAGTTTATATCTTACTAAAACGATAGGATAGAGATAATATATTTAGGCTTTAACCTCTCTTATTATAACAAAAAAAGAAAAAAAAAAAAACTACCTCCAGTCATTGAATGAATGACTTCGTTCTTCCTGTTTTTATATATTTTTATTCAGTCTTTGATTATGATATGACTCTTTTTTATACGCTCCACTTGAAAAATTGAAAGAAATGCTTAGTTAAAGATGGGCGTTGAGGAGGTTTTACATTTGACTAATTCGAACAAATTTAGAACAGGAAGAACATTATTGTTGGATGTCAAACTGATTTTTGATTAAGCATTGACGAAGTCTCACTTTCGCTTTAAACTTTATTAACAACTTTACTGAGGAAAATAATATTTACTAAAAATAGTACTAAACTCAAAATTCAATGTGGACTATTTTTTTTTTTTTGGGACGGAGGGATAAAAAATGGTAGCCAAGTGTGACCTATATTTCTTACGGAGAAAAATAATTTATTTCTTTGAGAACTGTTACGAATAAACACGAATGTAATAAAAGTTTTGAAGAAAATGAATTAAACGGTAAAGGTAAGTATAAGTAGCTCCAGGATTTGAACGGAATTTTAAGCCGCGGATGTGAAGTTGAAATTGGCGCAGGTAGTTCTGGCTCCAAGAAGCGTGGAAGTGAAACCCAATCTTGAAGTTGCCAAATCAAATTGCAAAAGATTATCTTCCAATTGGTGCCCTCCAATCTCAATCGAAGTTCTGGGTTGGTTTCCCACAATGGGTCCAGATCCTCCATCAACAAATCCCAAGCACAAAACCTTGTCATCATTCACAGAAACCATGGAATTCGAACCAAAAATGCTCCAAACCACGTTCGAATTCTGCAACACCAAGTCAATTTGCGGAACTCTTGCACCCAATCTGGTGCTCACAACATTGTCTGAACTGAAACAAACCTCAAACGGAGCCACCCCGGCAACTCTCGCGATGTTCAAAGCCGCAGCCTCTGTAATGAAAGCTTCAGTCACTGCTTTGAAGATGGAAGATTCCAATACAGTATAAGGTTCTGAAGTGCTAATCTTTGTTCCACCATTACCGTTCTTATCAAACGACAATAATGTGGTGTTCAATTTCACGGGTTTATTATTAATCCTAATTGATTTTACCCCAATGAAGTATTCATCTGATTTTTCTCCCAGTCTGTGAGCCACAGCAGTACTGACTGGATTGATTAAGAGTGTAGTGTATTTCAGAAACGAAGCTGCTTGAATGTTGGGGAGGAAATTATAAGGTGAATCGCCGAAAAACAGAACGCCCGGAACCCTGGTTGAACCGGATAAACAAATGGCGAATTTTCTCGGGAAGCTAAAAGCAGAGGCCAATTGGGATGGCAGGGCAGCCCGATCTCGGCCTAATCCGGCAACTCCAACGGTGCCGCTCGCGAGTGATTCGAGTTGGAATGTCCTGGAACAGGAGAAAATAAACTGAGGGACGGCGACCAATCGGCCGGGGTTTGACCCGTCGGTGGAAGTCAACGTGAGAACATCCTGAGCTGCCTCACCGTCGGTAACGAAATGAGTGGCCGGATTCTCGTGAACTATGGTGCACGTGTTGTTATTGCAACCGGGTCCGGCAGGGAGAAAGCAGTCCAAGCAATACCCACTTGTCCCAATCGTGACAAGAGAACACTGGGAGCTCCGGCATCTCACCGGACGGTAAGTCGAGGAGACGTAATTGTTCTGGCAGTCAACCCAGAAGAACTGACCGCCGAGATCAACAACAACGTTGAGGGAAACTGAAGGTGTTCTCTGGTTAATTTTGGTCACGTATTGGAGCGTGGCAGCATCTTTTTGGACCGGCAGAACTAGTGCACGTGGCCGGAATGAGCTCTGAGCATTGCTGAAACTCAGAGAGAAGAAGAAACAGAGGAAAACAGAGAGAATGATGATTGGAACAGAGGAAGCCATTTGCAGGTTGAAATTTGAAGGGTTTTATTATTTTTGCCTTATCTGACCATTGCTCTACAATGAAGATATTTATAGGTAGCGATTTGATCATTTCAGTCCCTAATCCTGATCATTGGTGTTTCATCAGTCTGTAGAACCGGAGAAGAATGAGTACTAATCGTTTATGTGTGGACTTTAGCATGAATATCATAAATTAATGAGTGTGTATCCAGCAAGATCATTATTCAATTCCGGCGGCGTGTCTTAATCCAAAAACTAGTACGAATCTGTACTTTTGGTCAACTGATTTTTCTTGTATACGTGTTTGTGAGTTTATCCGTACTGCATATACACGAAGGTTCTTTGTGATGAGGATTATTGACTTTCATAAATTTAGACCATGTGCCAAGGTCAAAGCTAATTAAACTGGAGATGCTTGGATAGGTGAGGAACATTATTATCATGCGTTGGTTCTCTTCTCTCATTTCAAATAACCACCAGTTCTATTTTTTTTATTATTATTTATTTATTTTTTATTTTTTTGGTATAATAAGGAAAGCAAACGCCTTAAAATCTAAACCCTTGGTATGAAACACTAATGATATTATGTTCCGACCATCCATTCTTGTTGATAAAGGTTACAAGTTAATGACATATTATAGCAGCCAAGGTCCATTTTAATAATTGGTGGAGACGGTATAAATTTTTTAATATAAAACTTGTATCATTAGTTTATCTTTTACACACGCTTGTACGAAAAGTTTAATGACATATATACATTACGAATTAGTCATCTTTGAATTAAATCGTGGCTCCATTAAATATTACTAGCCGAGATTTACGCGCGGAAAATTACATGCCCGTTATATACAAATGGTCTGATTAAATTATGGGTGTTAGGTTTTAAAGCCACTAATGTGTTGCAATAATGTGTATTTAAAGCCAATAATGTGTTGCAATAATGTGTTAGTTTTTAAAGCTACTAATGTGTTGCAATAATGTGTATTTATTACTTATAATATTTTTCATAGGATTTGCCAATGCAACTCCAACAAATAAAGTTAGGTTCTTATTACTCTTTCTGTTATGAAATAATTGTTTAATTTAAGATTTTATTTTTTAGTATGAAAATGAAAAATCAATACTAGAGAGAGGAAGTGTTATCTTTCATTACAAATTGAAGACTGTGAAATATACGGTTAAACATCTATAATACTAGGACATCCATAATACTAATAATATTAATTTAAATAAAATTCCAAAGAATCTTATTAATGTTTTAAGTTTAGTCGTATAAGATTTATATTCTTTTATTCCCTAATATCCCTTACGGAATAGAATTTAGACTCCACCATCATCTTAAATTTTATCACCTACCCAATCTATATAATGTGTCTCTATTAAAAGACATCTTTTTTCTGAGAAATCTTTAAACTCCCATCAATGGCTGGATACATAATACAAAAATTCATAACATCTACAATTTCTTTAGATATAAATCTCTAGAAAACACAAAAAATCGTTAGATTCATATTTTACTAGCTCAAATTTATTTTTTTATTTCAAGTCATTATTAATTTATGATATTGACGGGACATATATTTACATAGAATTTTTTTGAAAAATTATTATCTTATTATTTTATCGATTATATTTATTTTTTTTACTGGTCCCGACTTAGGATTTGAGAAAATTATTTAACTAATCGATGTTATAAAGTTATCGATTATTAATTTATCGATGTTCTACTGTATATAGAACACACTCATAAAGAAGTGTATGTTGGAAATAAACTAAAGTTTGAATGAGAAATTAGTTTCTCATGAGATTGGAAAATAATAGTTATCAAATACTTTGACCGTGTGTAGGTTCACCTACATACATGAATAATGAGATGTAATTCACGGACTTGTTCAACCCGGGTTTTACAACTGGATATAATTCTTCCAATCACTAAATAGAGATATTACAACTGAAATTTAATATGCCATTTATTTTTATTTTTGGCTGTTGAATTTCTTTTAGTGAGAATGTAATGATCGTTGAATTTATATCTTTAAGTGAATTAAAGTGGAAATGCATAACGGTTTTGACCTTTTGAATGGACTCTCTCTTTCCTATATAAATGAGCTTATTCTCCAGAATTCCCACACTAAAAAAAATACATTTGTCTTTTCTATTCTCCTTACCAAAAACACCCATTAGTCTTCCCTTGGTGTTCAGTATTTTTGTTGGTTCCAGTTCGCCGGTGATTTTGTCTAAGTGCAAGACTAATATCACGTCATTCACTGTATTCTGGAAAACATACGCTTTTACATCTTCTAGCACTCTGTGAGAAGAAGCGAATCTGTTTTAAGAAAAACGTGTTTTCACGTGTCTCGAAATTCCCTCTTTTTTGAGTTCTTGGTGTCATTACAAATACTTCTCCCTATTCACTTTGACCAACAGTGTATTCATGAGTAATATAAAGTGATAACAGAACTATCTAGAAAAAAAAAATAAATTTCATTTTGAGTAATTATACCTTAAAATCTCCAAAATGTGATACTCTAGTAAAAACGATTTACTTTTATACGATGGCGACGGTAGCGCCCGTGGCAATTCCTAAGTACAGAAGCAAAGAAGAATGCAGTTTTGAACTGAACTTTCATTGATTTTGATGTTCATAAGTCGTCAACTAAGAGAGACATATGCCATTTTTGAGGTTAAAAAAAAAGAACACAATAACAAACAAATAAATGAATGCATGAACTTTTATTAATAACTCAAAAACCTTTACAAAGGAATTGGTATTGAATTCCATGCTCCATAAAACTTATTCAAATAGTAAGCACTCTGGGAAGCCAAAATGAATAATGACAACAGAAATAACTTCATGAAATGGCTTCTGAAAACAATCAAATCATAGTGTATCTCTCATTCTCTTCGATTTGAGGGGATATTTTAGAGAGCTGATGCGAAGTTGAAGTTGGCGCAGGTAGTTCTCGCTCCAAGAAGTGTGGAACTGAATCCCAACCTTGAAGTTGCCAAATCAAATTGCAAAAGATTGTCTTCCAATTGGTATCCTCCAATGACAATCGAAGTCCTGGGTTCAGATCCTCCGTTAACAAATCCCAAGCACAACACCTTGTCATCATTCACCGAAACCATTGAATTCGACCCAAAAATGCTCCAAACCACGTTCGAATTCTGCAAAACCAGGTCAATCTGTGGCACTCTTGCACCCAATCTGGTGCCCACAACATTCTCCGAGCTGAAACACACCTCAAATGGAGCCACCCCTGGAACTCTGCTCATATTCATCGCAGCCGCCTCTGTTATGAAAGCTTCAGTCACTGCTTTGAAGATGGAAGTTTCCAATACAGTGTAGGGATTCACAGTACTAATCTTTGTTCCTCCAACACCATTGCTGTCGAACGACAACAATGTCGTGTTCAATTTCACGGCTTTGTTATTGATCCTAATTGATTTGACTCCAATGAAGTATTCGTCTGCATTTTCCCCCTGGGAAACTCCGGCGGTATTAATCAAAAGTGGGGTGTATGTCAGAGACGAACCGGCTTCAATCCCCGGAAGCAAATTGTACGGTCCATCGCCGAAAAACAGAACGCCGGGAACCCGGGTTGAACCCGACAGGCAAATGGCGAATTTCTTGTGGAAACTAAAAGCAGAGGAAAGCTGAGAAGGCAGAGCAATTCGGCTCCGGCTTAATCCGGCCATCCCAACTGCACCTCTGGCAAGGCCTTCCAACAGGAATGTGGCTCCACACACGAAAATGAACTGAGGAACGGTGACGGAACGACCCGGATTTGACCCGTTAGTGGATGTTAAAGTGAGAACATCCTGAGCTACTTCACCGGAGGTGATGACTCTAGTGGCACTGTTTTCAGGAAACGCAACACAGGTGTCGGCTCCTGTGCAAGCGCCGTTTCCGGCGAGGGAGCATTGGGCGGAGCGGCATCTCACGGAGCGTTTGGTGGAAGAGACGTAATTGTTATCGCAATCGACCCACAAGGACTTGCCGCCGAGATCGATAACAACGTTTAGGGAAACAGGAGGAGTTCGTTGAGTGATTTTGGTTACGTATTGGAGAGTTCCGGCGTCCTTTTGGACCGGCAGGACTAATGCACGTGGCCGGAATGAGGTCTGAGCATTGCAGGGACTCGGAGAGAAAAGAAACAGGAAAATGGATAGAATGAGCACTGAAACAGAGGAGGAAGCCATTTTTAGGAAGTTTTGAAGGTTGGAATGGAATTTGCTGAATTGTTTTTTGACTTACTAAATGAGGCAATTCAAAGCTGCTATTTATGCGTTCATTTTTCGCAATTATTGGCTGCTCAAGGGATAGGCGGCTGACGCCATCAATCATGACTCTAAAGTTTAAACTGGAACCATCCTTGCAATTTCCTAAAGGCGATCAAGTTTTGTATGTCCTCTAACTTTGAATTGTGCTTTTATTTAGTCCCTTATCGTTTTTTAATTTAGTGCGCTGAATTTCATAATTCAACTGACACAATTAGTCAAAGGCTAAATCATCTTAGCCACACAGTAGTTGTATGTCTAAGATGGTTTCAGCCCGACTGAGACGCCAGGAATAAATGGTGGGCTAGTTAGAGCTATCAAAGAGCTGTTACGAAGGCCTTGGAATGTAAAGGTGAGACATGACTACAGGAAAGCTAATTTTGTGGTAGACTGTTTAGCTTTCTTAATGGCAGTAAGTCCAAGAGGTTACCATAGACTAAATGATCCACCAGATATTGTTAAACCGTGGTTGAGATATGATATAGTCGATGTTTCATATCCACGGAACGTGGTTGTACCACAACCTTAGGTTTCGATCTCTTTTGAAAAAAAAAAAAGGCTAAATCATATACTTTCTACATCAAGTATTATTTCTTTCTTTGGTAGAAAGAAAAGAATTTTCTCTACCACCTCCTCCCCGAAACCCTCCTAAATTTCCATCCCTTTTGCATCTCGGCAGAGCCATTCTCGTTTTTTTTCTTAATTTTTTTATTAGAGAGATCCTTTGTATAAATTACTATAGCACATTCGATCATCACTTCGAGTACTAAAAAATAAAAATAAAGTTTTGCTTATATGCCACAATTGTGTCTGAAAATTTTGTATTAGTTTGTGTTGCTTTTAAAAAGGGAGTGTAATTATAAATTTCGTTTTAGGTCATTTAAAATCACAAACTTTCAGCTGTATAAATTGATATTGTGATATCCTAATTGACAACTATCCTCTGATCGGCAACTGCTAAAGAAAAAAAAAAAAAAGAAGATAAGGGACCCAAGAGAAATTTGTGATGAAGTTGAGTGACTAATTCTCTGAACTTTGACACTTTGGCCATCTCCAGCCAATCATTCAACTGCGATGGTCTCATGTGCGATGGCTATTGGCTGGATGCCTGCTTGACCAAAACCTGAATTGTTATATTTGACTATTTGGTCAAATAGTTAGTCAAACGAATCTGTTTCCTCTCAGAGCTTCTTAAAAATTATGCTTAAGAATCTTTACTTGTATAGAAAGGCAGGAAAAAAAAAAATGAAGACGCTTATGGAATAGCTTAAGAAGTAATATAATCAGTGCAGAGCATAATGGAGATATATACTAATCACGCAATTAATATGCTAACAATCGAGATGTACACTTCCATACGGAAAAGATATTACTATGGAACTATTATTTGTTGCATATGGGGCATTCAGAAAATAAGGATCCCTTCAAATTAAAACTGTCAAATATCAAATTTTATTCAGCGATTAAATATTAGCATATGTTATAATAGTATTGCATGTTGCCGAGATTATTGAATAAATTAAATCACGTTAATATAATTTCGATCCCGAAATGATTATCATATTTGTTGTTACTAGAGAGGAGTGTACAATTTTCTTAAAGTGGTAATAGACTACTCTTCCCTTTGATTAGTTCTGTGATAAAATGGGCACGCAAGAGAATTTGAATGATTCTTAACATCCAGATTGATTCTTAACAAATTTATTGCTTAAGAAAGAGTTACAAACTAAATTATGAAAATTGAATACAAACTAATTATGGTTTGATGATCTCCCTTGTGAAAGGATAGTATATTTTAGGGAGCAGATGTGAAGTTGAAGTTGGCGCAGGTAGTTCTGGCTCCAAGAAGTGTGGCACTGAATCCGAAGTTGCCAAATCGAATTGAAACAGAGCGTCTTCCAATTGGTATCCTCCAATGACAATCGAAGTTCTGGGTTCAGATCCTCCGTTAACAAATCCCAAGCACAACACCTTGTCATCATTCACAGAGACCATGGAATTCGACCCAAAAATGCTCCAAACCACATTCTGCAAAACAAGATCGATTTGTGGTACTCTGTTATGAAAGCTTCTGTAACTGCTTTGAAAATGGAAGTTTCCAATACGGTGGTGACGGCGGGCTTTGGGGGGAATACGATACAAGTGTTTGTATTACATCCGGGTTTTGGGCCGTCGGTGCAGTTTCCGCAAGCGCCGTTTCCGGCCAGGGAGCAGGAAAATGGATAGAATGATTACTGAAACAGAGGAAGCCATTGTTTTGGATGTTTTGTATTGGTTTGGATAGAAGTCGCAATCCATGCAGCTATCTATAAGTTCATTTCTTGCGCTGTCGCAGAACTGACTGCTGAATCATTTATTAATGGATTAAATTAAATTATTCCCATTTAAAAATTTTAGTGCAATTCAGCATCAAAGAAACTAAAATGCTAATTTGACTATATTGTCCTCGACTATGGTTAGCTTTTGCTCTAGTTTGTTGTGCTGGAAAGTATTAACCTACCTTCTACTCCCTTCTTCTAACAATCATAATGTGATTTCATTGAAAAAAGTTAGTAAAAATGAAACTAATGAATGGTTTTTTTATATCCTTACATGACATAGAGTAACAAACTTGTGGTGCTTAGTATACGTCAAAGATTGATCGTGTCGGAGTGTTAAATATTAATATTATTTTCACGAGACGAACTTAACATGTTTTCAAATATTTTTTTTTTTTTTTTGTTCAAGTCCATATAAATGTTATATTCAAAATGGAAGGTCATTTACATTTTGAAATGCTTAAGGGACCAAAACAAAACATATCATGAAGTCGAGTGGCCATTTTACACAATAAACCTTTGTAGATTTGACTATGCCCGAAATATGTTTATTCGATTGTCCAGCTGGTTGGGTCAGTGTCAATAGCGATGGCTCAATCCAAAAACCCCAATTATTTTCTTTGACAATTTGGTCAAAGTCTGTGTCTTCCACCCCGCGGTCTCGAGCTTAAACATCCATTTTGGGATCAGTCTCCCTCCCACAAGTTTGTTCCATCCTTTTTCACTTTGTTCCACACATAATAACAAGACGTTCACAGTTAATAACAGTGATTATATTTTCTTAAACGATTATGCTAATTAAGAACGGAACAAAAAGTTCAAAAAAAATCATATTTCTATAAGATAAATCACAATTTATAAATATGATTCCGGCATATAGGGAATTCATGTAAATCCGTAACCACTTCCAATTAATACAATTTTAGTAATATTTTTATGAGAGCATAAAACATCAGTTTTGTTTTTTTTTAATCACCTAAATACAATGATATAACAATTTCCTCCAAGCAGAACTTGGGAGTTGGGGATCATCATTCCAACCAGCCAATACTTGCAGATGAGCTAATTTTGTTTCACACCACCTCTTCTGTTAATGTTAATGCTGCTGCTCAACTTATTCCACGCACAATACGTAGTAATTAAGAGACAGACATCTTAGCTTTAGGTGTCACCAACATTTGATGTGGTTCTGAAGTTGTTCCTGGCTCGATTGATGTATTTCGCGACCCTGTCGTTGAAACTATCCCTTCTGGTAGCAGACCTAGTTGCCTGTCTTACATTTTCGTGATGATCGCTGATATCTGATGGGGTTCTCATTCTGTTTTTCACCTCAGATATGTAGTTTGAGTATATATCACCTTGCTCCGCCTTCTTACTTTCTGGATGCTCCATTTTCTTAGACGTGGTTTTCACCGGTACTGGTTTTGGAATATTTTGTACTGCTTTCTCTGGAGTAACATAAATTCCTTGACCTCCGCGACCTTGCACAACGACAATGTTAGGGGAAACAGCTCTTTCTTGGTCTGATTTCTTACCTAGTGAGGAATGAACTGGTGGTTTTGATCCATTGCTTAGAGCAACTTTGTTTAGTTGGTCATGACCAGATGCAAATTTGCCTTGATCATGGCCTTCAATATGAACAAAAACAGTGGCTGATTTTGCAGCACTATTTTCAGTCTTGGAAGGCCTGAATACTCCTCCTTCATTCCTAGGTGTTCCTGAATGAATCTGAACATCAACGAGGGGAGAGCCTGATTTCTGCTGCACGAAGGTTTCTTTCGGGGGAACAGACACAAGGGTTATGGCTGGTTTGTCTGCATTTTGAAGTGTGAGCTGATTTGAATCTGCAACATTGGTAACTACAGTGATCTGCGACCGGCCTGACTTGCGATGAAAACCAGCGACTGCATTGAAGATCTTTTCGCACACCCCAGTTGAATCCTTGCCTGACTTGTTCTTTTCCATTTGCTCTTCTTTCTTGGTAATCGACTAATCTGAAAAATAGAAGGTTAGGCAAAGAAAACAATGGGATTTCCTCTGTGCTTGTTCAGTATTGCTATTGATGCAGAAGATTGGAATGAAGTTGCTGGTTTTTATACCAGAGATGCTGCAAGAAGAGCTCAGAGCTCAATTTCTTGAACATGTTTACCACATGATACAATGTGAAAGCTAAGTGCACATAGAATTTTCACGCAAAAAAAAAAAAAGATTCCTAAAAGCTCTGTATTACACTTAGCCAACTTAAACACTTAGCAGAAGGATCATATTCCTTGACTTTCTAGTGAATGATGAAACTGGGCTTCATCTTCCCCCAGCTTAAGTTATTACTCTACAGTAATGTGGATATTTTCGTGTATAATTATTCTTTTTCTCAACGTGCTTACATTGAACTGTCGCGAGTAGATTGTTCGTGGGACTTTTCTATATTATCAAGTGCACTCAACAGTTCCGTGCTTTATACAGAAATTTCCAAGGCGAGCATTATTTTTTCTGGCTGGGGAGCTTTTAGAGCTCAAATTGTTCAATTTGGAACCTAAAAAGCAAGAATCAGACCAATCAAATTGAAAAGCTTTAGCATCAGATTCAGGGTCTTAAAAGTCTATAAAGTACAGCACTTGCTTCCAGGAATCACATTACTTGAAATTATGAAAATGCACAACAGCCACAATCATTACTTCTTTACTAGAAGTCACTGTGCCTAACCTTTATCACTACACACATGAAAGAATATGCGAACTTTTCTGCTCATCAACAGAATTTCAATTTTCAACACTCGGCAGCATAAGTATCTTTAGAAAATAACGGGAATTTCGTCTAAAACCAACAAAATTGTTTTCAAAATAGAGAAGTATGAGCAGCCTACACAATTAAAGATTCTTTCCAATAACTAGCTACATGCCATCGGAAACCGCTACTCATGTGGAGGTTACCTAACTTTACATAAGGCGCTTCACAAAGTTTTACAAATTTGAAAGGAAAAGGAGCACATATTATTGATGTCTCAAAAGTACATTTACAGAGAGGGCAAACTCGTATTTACATTTCAAAGCATTGCTGGGAGAGTATGCTTTTTTACATCAAATTTAAGTTTCACCAAGATAATAAGCTCACAAGTGTTTAGTAGCAAGTAACGTGATAAGACTATGTTACATTCTAGCTAAATATGATAGTTACATCGTTGCAGGTGACAATGTAAATCTCTGATGTATAAGCTTTTGGAAACTCTAGAAGACTAGAACTAACTGAATCTGCAGCAAAGAACATAGCAATGAGGGGCATCAATTCTGCATATCATGTTTTCCATGCAATGCAACCAGGACACACAACTCAATGGCGAAAAGTCTTAACCACCTGGTCAATCCGCCTCCTACATAGTGGACAGCTGGTCAAGTGGGAAGAGCATGCCATGCAACAGCACATATGCCCACACCTGAAAGTGAACCAGTAAATGTATGGCTTACATTAGTGTAGTCTAAAAGGGGACAGAGGTTAACCTGATGGAAAATTTAAACAACAATAAGAAGCATCATGATATACTAGAGAGTTTCAAAGCCAGAAAATACTCATAAAGGACAATAAAAAATAAACAACACGAGCAGCATCAATTAGGGCAGTATTGGTCCCATGAATCTTTTTTGTAATGACATTACTATATTTTCAGCAAGGAATGACAGCTTCAGTTCACTTGAATTGGGAACAGTGGAGATTCGCCAACTACATCCTTGAAACCAAGAATTTTCACGTTCACAATCATTTAGGCATACTTTGCATGCAAATGCAGGGAAAAACATTTGGCGCAACACTTACGGGACAAAAACTGAATTGTACTCTTGCTCTAAGCATATGACACACAAATCTGGGAGTGCACGATCCTTTTTGTTATTTTCCGATGCATTTTCAGGTACACCATTTGAACCTGGAAAGGGGAAGAGATGAGAGATTAAAACTACTAAGGATTCCACATAAACCCAAATCATTGCATAAAGAAACATAAATAACAACCTTCCTCTTCTTTGCCAGTCCTTTTAGCCGCTGCAGCGAGGACCCTACAAGGATAATAGTTTGTGACATTCAATAATCTAAAAATGAGTTTTTCTTCATTCTGAATGCAATATGTGAACTTATACCTCTTCCTCAACTCTGAGTGACGCCTTCTCTCCATGATATATTGGAAAGCACGCTTTGCAATAAGATAAACCCCAAATACTGTAAATCCCATAGAAGCAAATCTGTACCACCTGGAAGAAGGTCATAGAAAACAGTCAGAACGTGTGTGTCAGGATTGACAATGTTAGAAAGCCTAGTCTCTCTCATCATTACCTTGCCCATTTTCCCAGATTTGCAATGAGTTGGTCAAGCGCTTTGTGAGACACATAAAACGGCCCCTTGTGAGGTTTCTGGATTCTAATTGTTCCAATGTCATCTTTAACAGCCTGGGTAAGTCGTAAACATCAGAAAAGTAAGCGAACAAGAAGAGAAATCGTAGAAGTGACGATTAAAATGAAAGAGCTAATAATCACAACACCTGGAACCAACATGAAAGTACTCATAACTTTTTGACAATCCTTTCTGATAATTCCTTTTTGGGACAGATATCTTCTTTTTGAGAATTATTGGTTTATGTTTAGGGTTTTAAGAGTTTTTAGTGCCCAACTTTGTCCAGGAGGGGTTTAAAAGGTTTCCCGTGCATTTTAGGAACTGTAGGTTTTACTGTTTTCACGAATTGTATGGTTTCCCAAAGTATGAGTAGTTATGGGAAGGAAGCACAATATGACATGTAAAATTGATGGCACTATATAATTCACGAACTGTGATTCACTTTGCCATGAATATCATCTCATGCACGTTCCTAAAGTTACAAACAGAAAGATATCTTCTCTTTTTCTTAAATATCTTGTAAGTTATAACCACCATCACCAAATATATGTCCTAGTACTTGCTATTCATGAACTGTTGGGACCACAAATTATGTGAAAGTTAAAAGAGTAACAATACCTCACCGACAACAGTCAATGGTGTTCCAGTGGGAAGTACACGCTCAATCCTCTTTACTCCAAGCATCTGCAGAAATCATTTTAGGCATAAATGAAAAAAAATTAACCAAACTCTTTGCACAATCCAAACAGCTAGTGAGCATTTCCAGAAAAAAAAAAAAGAAACAAGTATTAAAGATGACAAACCTTCAAACCCTGGAGATAATCCAGTGTTCCACGGACAAGAGACCGCCCGGACTCCTCAAAGACTTCACTTCCTACAGTCAACACCAAACCTGTGGCACCACGTGCTCCAACTACATGTACACGGCTGGTCCCATCATCCTGTCATAATAATAGCAGCTTACAATATCAAAAGAAGTTCCAGACTACACATATTCAAAGAAATGACCAACCATCCAAATCTCACCAAATACCAAGGAACTTCTTTACACATTGAAAGCATCATGGCAGAATCCTGTATCCATGAGCCTGCATCGTTGTGTTTTAAAAAGTGTTGCTCTGCCTGGAAAATACAGTAATTGAAATGCTTATAAGGCCGATACCAATTACGCAAGGAACAACTGCAACACTAATTCAAATAACTAGACCGCATACCGTTTCCTCCACAATGACACCCCTCAATCCGCTATATTCACACTTAATTGGTGAATCTGAACCAACTCTGCCAGATATCGCAACCACCATAGGCAAAATTTCCGACGCACTCTCCAATATTTGTGCTAAAACGAAGGTGCAAAGAACACCAATTTAATTTTCGAACCAAAAACACGAAGTGCTCATTTGGGAAAATAATAACAAAAAGGAATCACATTAACCTAAATCCTTCAACTGATTGACTCGAGTAACCGATTTTAGAATGTCCGCGTCTCTGCAAACGGCAAGAAGAAAGATTGAATTTCGATAACCGCCTTTGGTTATTTTCTAAGCAAGAAAACAAAATAAAAGTAAAGAGCATAAAAATGAGGCAAACCTTCCACTGCTCCTCCCGAGAAGGTATAGAGCAGCTGCACTCAAACAGCAGCTTATTCCGCCCCATGGCACCACCATCTTTCTTCGGTTCCAATCCAATCTCAAAACGTACGCTAGCTATCCACAGCAATCCAATGATTAAAAAATATATATATATATATTTATATATATATATTTATCAGCTATGAAGAACCATTTTACATTGCCCCAGGAAATATTATCAGGCAATAATTGTTAGGGTTTCTTCTGGAATTTGAAACTATGAATCCGAAGTTTATCACTAGAGAAGAGTATGAACGTAAGATGATTTCTGAAAAAACACAAATAAAGCTTCAGAAAAATAAAACGATAAAGAAATTTTCTAAAAATTCAGTACTGGAATTCGAATAGGATTCTTGCAGTGGACAGGAAGGTAAAGCAAAAACGCATGGCTGTAAACAATGTAGAGTTAAGAAAGCGTTGTTAAGTTAAAAAGCGTTGTCTCCGCCTTTGAAAGTAACTACGCTTTTCATTTATTATCGAGCCTTATCCGCTTGTCGCCTGTAAGCCGAAATCATTGTTCTGGTTCATTTAGGCAATAGTGGGCTTTACGGCCCACGTGAACAGCCCATACCAAGCACCGATGGTTTAGAGATTAAACGACGACGTACGTCAGTGTCCACCTTGGTAATTTCAGCTTTGATCGGACTTCTAAAACCCTGGAAGAAAGAAAAAAAGCCCATAAACCTCTCAAAACCCCAGAAAGCCCCAACGCCACTGTTCTTCGTCTTCGTCATCGCAGTCTCCTTCCATTTTGTTCATTTTGGGGATTTGGTCTGCTCCAGTTTCTGTTGATTATGGCTGCCGTCGCATTTCGGAACCCTAACTCCCGGCGATTGCTGTCTATTTCTCCTCAATTATACTCTTGTTGCAGAGGATCTGTACTTTCCCCGAGCTCCTCCGTTTCTGAATCCGTCTCTCCCAATGAAGTCTCCAGTTTTCCTAACCCTTGGTGGAGATCCATGGCTACTTTTACCCGAACGTAAGTTGAAACTTCACTGAATCTTCATTCACAGTCACGGTTTTGTTTTTCCCTTTTCTTTATTTATTCTTAATTTCCGCGTGCATTGGTATTTGTCATTTTGAAAATATCTAGATGATTTTCGCCCGTTCTTTCTTTGAGCGGATAGTTGTTATAGTGAAGTATTATTATGGAAGCTGCCTACTTCATATAGTTTTGTTTTTGCATACTGTTTGCTTGTCCTTCTTGTTGGGGAGGGGGGTTTATTTATGGAGCAGCGACGAAGCTTTTATGTTGTGGAAGAGTGTTGGGTTGTTGGTGGGTAGAGTGTAATTGTGAGGAGTTGGAAGTGTTGGAGACATTGGCACTTGTTCCTCGAAGCCTTCAATTTTTTTCTCCTCTATAAGGGCTTGTTCTGCTTGCAATGCATAAAAACAAAAGTTTGTTTCTTTGGTCTTGCATACCCTGGTTGTACCGCCTTTAAAACAAATTAAAGGTTTTCTTTTATTGATCTTGCTTACCTCGGTTTACCGGGATTGTCAAAGTGTTTCTCTTTTCTGAACTATTTGTCTTGATGCTTTCTGGCAGCAAACCCCACGTTAATGTAGGAACCATTGGACATGTTGATCATGGTAAAACGACCTTGACTGCTGCAATCACAAAGGTAACCTGCTGCCTTGTGTCCTCGTGTTGCTTCACCGACTATGATGTGAAACTTTCCTGAGGCATTTGTGGTTGGTTTGTAATTAGGTCTTGGCAGAAGAGGGAAAAGCTAAGGCTATTGCCTTTGATGAAATTGACAAAGCACCCGAGGAGAAGAAAAGAGGGATTACAATTGCTACGGTCTGGACATTTCCTGTTTCTAACTTTTCTTTACCTGTTTATCTAATATCACTGGATTCAGCATTTGGTCCTAAATGTTGATGTCTTGCAGGCACATGTGGAATATGAAACAGCCAAAAGACATTATGCACATGTAGATTGTCCTGGACATGCAGATTACGTCAAAGTAAAATGACTTCTTCCTGTGCAGATTTTCTGTATTGCTTTTTGCATATTGGTTTTCTGCACTGTGTAGCTTTTCATGTTTCTTGATCCTCCTGCTGTTTTTCAGAACATGATTACTGGAGCTGCACAAATGGACGGGGGTATTCTTGTTGTATCTGCTCCTGATGGGCCAATGCCACAGACAAAGGAGCATATTCTGCTTGCTCGGCAGGTGTGTTTCTATTTCTGCTTTCAAAGACATTTTAAAGTCCCTGTTAAATGCCAAATTTCGAATTCATTTCTTTTTCTTTTTCGTTTTTGTGGTTTTACAGGTCGGTGTGCCATCGCTAGTGTGCTTTTTGAATAAAGTTGACGCTGTTGATGATCCAGAATTGCTGGAACTTGTCGAAATGGAACTCCGTGGTAAGTTTTCATTTTGGGTTGTCATGTTCTCCTGCGCTTTCTTAAAAGCTTGATGGTATCTTAACTTTTTTTCTTATTGAAAGATTTGTGATATAAATTGCCTCTCTATTCTTTGCAGATCTACTTTCCTTCTACAAGTTTCCTGGGGATGAAATCCCAATTATTCGAGGTTCAGCATTGTCTGCTTTACAGGGGACGAATGAAGAAATTGGCAAGAAAGCTATTCTGAAATTGATGGATGCTGTCGATGAGTACATCCCAGACCCCGTACGTCAACTAGATAAACCTTTCCTGATGCCCATAGAAGACGTTTTCTCTATCCAGGTACTGGAATTTACATTTTCACCCTGTGCATACAAATGTTTCCTTCCTCCTGATGATGTCAGCCTTAACAGTGGTTCTCTTCAAGGCTTTATAAATTATTAATTATCTCGTTTCAATATCATTTCTGTGATAAAGAAGTGTACTGTACTTGTTTGCCTCGCATTTGAATAACACATTCATAAATTGAAATCTCTTTTCTTCTGGTCAATGAGATGATGATTAAAAATCATGCCTTTTTATCCTCTGGCTGTAAGTTTTCTGTATCAATGATATTATTAGTTAGATATCTGTTTCCGGTGAAATTTCTACAGCATTTGAATTATATTCCTGTTTTTTATAGGGACGAGGAACTGTTGCCACTGGGCGTATTGAACAAGGAATGATCAAAGTCGGGGATGAAGTTGAGATATCAGGGCTGATGCAGGTAATTTATAGTATCACTCTATATCTTGGAAAGTTACAGCTGTAGTTAAATCCCTAGTTGACATGCGTAAGGGGGCTGGTAGACTGCATGTCTTTACAATCCTTGACCTTTTCCTTCTGTTTGTCTCCATTTAGATGTTAGTAATGCTTCATCAAGGATTGTCTTTTACAGCAATTATATAATTTCCTTCAAAAGTATTTGTACTTCTGTTATTGGCGAAGATTTTTTTTCCCCAACCCTGCTGGAGATGGTTCAGTTAACATCCCTTTAACAAGATTTAAGCTGAAAGAATTCCATTATAGCTTTCATCAGATTTTTTAAGATAACAGCAAACATTATTTTGTTTAACTTCTTAGAAGTCATTGATTTTGCAGATATAACATCACTGGGTTCATTTAATATCATGGACACATCCTTTTTTATCTGCTTCTAAACATTGTTAAAACCCCTATCTGTCTGTTTATTCTCGTGGTTTTGGTACTTGTGGTGCAGAATACTCTTAAATCGACTGTGACTGGAGTTGAGATGTTCAAGAAGATCCTAGATAATGGACAAGTAAAAGATGATGAGAATCTCCCTGTTCAATTTATTTTTAAGTATCAATTTCAAGTTTCAATGTTCGCAACTGATTTGTTTGTTTTTTGAATTTAGGCTGGTGACAATGTGGGGCTGCTTCTTCGTGGTTTGAAAAGAGAAGACATTCAGCGAGGCCAGGTCTGTGGCTCTCTCAAACTTGCTCTTCTAGTGCAGAACCAGTCTAATTCTGTTTGGACGTTTTATAGTTACTCTTCTACTCACTTTCAAAACTTACTCTGGTTTGTTCTTCCATTGCTCTTTATGATACTGTTTATGCTAGAGTTCTGTTTTGAATTTCCGTTATATTAAATGGAAGTGGAGTTTTCATCAAGGGTCTTCTTCTCATATGCAGGTTATTGCAAAACCCAACACTGTGAAAACATACAAGAGATTTGAGGCCGAAATCTACGTACTCACAAAAGATGAGGGTGGTCGTCACACAGCCTTCTTTTCAAATTATAGGCCTCAGTTCTACTTGAGAACAGCCGATATCACTGGTAAGGTGGAGTTGCCTGAAAACGTGAAGATGGTTATGCCGGGGGATAATGTGACTGCTGTTTTCGAGCTGATTTTGCCCGTTCCCTTAGAAGCAGGTTGGGTGTCCTTAACCTTTTTTTTTGTTTTTTTTTGTAGCTGATCTTGCCAGTTCCGTGCAGCAAGTTTTGACAATTTAATTGTTGTTTCAGGTCAAAGATTTGCATTGAGAGAGGGAGGTAGAACAGTTGGTGCTGGTGTTGTTTCCAAAGTGCTGAGCTGAGATGTATACATAGGATTTTAATGCTCCTCTTCTCTACTTGTCATGTCCTTCATGTACCTTCTACGGAGGATGAAGGTTGAGAAAACAAGGTTGATATTTTTCAAGGACCCCGGCATGTGGTAGTCAAAACTTCTTTGCTATTCTGAAAGCGAATAATCATAAAAATCTTGATCATTAATTTACCAAGGTTTATCCGCATTTTGTTTTAGTGGATGATTGTTTAGTTAACAAAGTTTGTGATTTGCTCCCCGAAAAAAAAAAGAAAAAAGACTGTGATTATCTGTATTATTATTGGTTAGCAAATTTCTTCCTATGGAGTATTTTGTTTATTGTTATCTTGCTAGGCGAACCACTTCCACTTACTGTTGCCATCAGTTTGGTGAGTTTTGATCCGTAATAAGCCATGGGTCTGTATTCTCAGTGGTTCTTCTTTAATTGCATTTACCATAGAAGGGTGGCAAGGTCTGATCAAGAGGGATGCTATTCGAGGTCAAAGTTTAATTGGGATGAGTAGATGTAAATCTCAAGCTTAAAGAAATTATTATGGTTCATTAATCATTATCGCCTATGATGGACACACTTATACGGGAAAAAAATGAAAAGAAAAGAAAAGAAAAGAAAAATTAGGGTTTCTGAAATCGGCCAAGTACCTCTTACACAGGTACTCGTTAATTGCAATAATTAACAAAGGTTTTTGGTTTTTTAGAAAGAAAAAAAAACAAAAAATTGCATTACACCTTGTTATATGAAAGTGATGTATTAAAAATGACACAGAAAAATCCTTACCGCCCATAATCAACTGCAGAACCGAACATTTTTATTTTTTACTTTTGCATATAACATAAAACAATACGACAGCTCCTAATGTAGTAGATGAGTATAGAATTGACAAAGTACCACAACAACTAACTAGTCCCTTATTCGGTTGGCTACAAAAACTCGTTTTAAAAGTATTTCCTGGCTTTTTCCAATACTCGTTTTCTTAGTCTTCTCGTAATGGTTTAGGTATATAAATGTATCATGGGAGTTTTTTTTTTTTTTTTTTTCCAAAAGCGATAATCATATATAAAGAGAAAATAAGAAAGTACAAAAATAATGTAAGAAAGTACAAAAACAATGTGTTGAACTACAATAATCTATGGTTGAGATATTACAATTGGCCTTACGCGCTATACCTAGTAATAGAAGAAGAGATTGACAATCACAATACTGTGTTCAATCCTAGGCTAAACTAAACTGGCTAAATTGTAGTAATATTTCTAATTACAGAGTAAGAAAGTTCCAAGAGCCCACGAAATACAAAGAGGATAATAATATATTTTTACAAATGAAATCCAAACATCGCCCAGAAGGGGCTAAAACTCCAGATCTAAATCGAGAATTCAGATCTATATGGCTAGAAGTCTCATATCTATATAGATCTTTCATTTGCAAAATCATGGGAGCCCTACCGGCCTACTTCATTTACAAAACGATTTTTCATACATGGCGCATTCACAATTCAATCAAAATGCATATTAAAAAAATAAATTATTGCAACTTTGTATTATTAATAATTTTGCTTAAGATTCAAAAATTCCAACCAAACAAATTCAGTTTATTCTTAAATATTTGTATACAAGTTTGTACGTTGTCATCGTCAGTTTATTCTTAAATTTTTATTTTGTATCGATAATACAAGGTGGATTATATTTCTTTGACCAGAGCTTTCTTTAACCATTTGATTTTCATTAAATTCTTATTTCCATAAATTAGAACAAAATCTAAAAACCACCCCCATTTTTGTTACTTATTCGAGTTGGGATTTGATAGTTGATGTCCCTTAATTATTAATTTAGTCAAAACAATAAACGTATCAATTATGATAGAATAGATAGTCGTTTAAATTTCACTCATATTGTTTTAATCCCTAAAGTTAAATCGTCAAAACAAATCTCTCAATTTCGCCCCATTTCTCTCTGCAATGTTGCATATAAAATCATGTCAAAAATGCTTACTAATCGTTTGAAACTTGTCTTACCCCATATCATTTCCGAATCATAATCTGCTTTTGTAGCCGGAAGCCTCATCACTTATAATGTTTTAATTGCTCATGAAATTCACCATACAATTCGTACAAAATCTACAGGTAAAGAGGGTTTGATGTCACTTAAACTAGATATGAGCAAAGCTTTTGATCGGATAGAATGGAATTTTTTACAAATGTATTGACTGCCCTTGGCTTCTCGAATTCTTTTGCTTCTTTGATCCAGCTGTGTATCTCTACTGTCTCATTTACTTTTCTATTAAATAGCCAAGAAATAAGGCAAGTCGTTCCTCATCGTGGACTAAGACAAAGAGACCCATGTCTCCTTACCTTTTCATAATATGTGAGAAGTTTTCTCTATTTTATTACAGGATACTCATCAAACAGGCAATTTGAGAGGTATCCAAATTTCACCATCTACACCAAAGATCACCCACTTGTTCTTTGCTGATGACACACTCCTCTGCGGACATGCTACCTTTGCTGAGGCTGATACAATGCTGAAAATAATCTAGTTGTATGAAGCAGTCTCTGATCAATTCATCAATTACGAGAAATCAGCTGTTGTCTTTAGCAAAAATACACCTGAATTTTTGCAAATCCATCTTGCAGCTCGTTTAAAGATGCAAAGACTAGCTAACCACGACAAGTATCTTGGCCTCCCATCTTCTTTTGGCCGGAAAAAGAAAGAGCTCTTCAACTACATCAACGATAGAGTTAGAGCAAGAATAGAAGGTTGGTCTGAAAAATCTCTTTCCACGACTAGTAAGAAGGTTCTCATAAAGTCCGTTGCTCAAGCGATTCCTACCTATGCCATGACATGTTTCAAGCTTCCGGACACTCTGTGTGATGAATTAAATGCAATTCTGGCCAGCTTTTGGTGGGGTAATTCTAGTGATAAAAGAAAGATCCATTGGCAGAGATGGAATCTCTTATGTCGTCCAAAGGAATCCGGAGGTATTGGCTTCAAAAATCTAAAGCTTTTCAACCTTGCCCTTTTCGGGAAACAAGTTTGACGTTTATTTACAAATCTAGGATCTCTTTTAGCTGAGCTATTGAAAGCAAAATATTATCCAGATGGCAACTTCGTCGAAGCTTCTCTTGGTTCTTCTCCTTCTTACAGTTTGAGGTCCATCATAGAAGGTCGAAATATTCTCCTCACGGGCTATAGAAAACGCATTGGATCAGGACAAACAGTTGATATTTGGAAAGACCCTTGGCTTCCTGGACCATTCATGTTTAAGATCAACCCCCCCAGGCCACCTAACCTAGCCGATGCAAAAGGGAGTTACTTCATTGACAAGCTGGAACCATGATCTACTGCATAACACTCTTTGGCCAGAAGAAGCAAACTTAATCGAAAGCATCCCCTGAGTTGGACCTCAAATAGAGATTTCTGGAGGTGGCACTACACTCCTCAAGGTAGATTCACTGTTTCATCAGCCTACAAAGTACCTCTCACTCATCCGAGTTTTCATCCAATTCCAACAGGCGCCTCTTCGAATGACTCTACATCGTCCGCGTTATACGGCAAACTTTGGGCTCTAGATATAATATCCGAAGGTCAAACACTTTATGTGGAGAGTGCTAAACGACTCTCTGGCCACGCATCTCAATCTATAACGCAGTCATTTGGATGTTAATCCTAGCTATATCCGTTGTGGCCAATCAGAGAATACCATACATATATTGTTTTTCGGCGAGTTCTCTAAAGAGTTCTGGTTGAAATCTAATCTACGTGATTCTATTGTAGTACATTTTAACAGCTTGCTTCCTGAGTGCATTTTCACCCTTCTTGAGCTGATGCCCAGAACCTCTCTTCAAGCTTTCAGTCTCAGTTGTTATAATCTTTGGTACGCCCGAAATCAGCTCCAGTTTGAAGACTGTTACTTACCAGTAGTCGTAGTTCTCACAAGAACAAGTCGCAACTGGAATCATGGAGGCATGAACGTTTCATTATTCGTGATAACTCGGGGACAGGAATTCGCCCAACCACATCGATGGAAGGCCTGCATGGTTACTCGATCTGGTTTGATGGAGCAATCAATAAAGGATTGAAATGTTCAGCTATTGGAATACTTATTTATAATTCTTCTTCTGGCTTTATTTGCTGTATGACTAAAAACTACGTTAGTACCTTTTCCTCCGCAGTAATTGAAAGCATGGCAACTAGGGATGCTGTTTCTTTGGCTCTCGCGCATTTTACCTTGGTGGATGATTCCTCGACTGCCCGGCTACAATCAAAAGATGGTGACCTCTCCGATGCTAGCCTAATTCTCTCGGATGTCAAAGCCCATTTTGAAGAATTAATTAACTTTGAGTGTAGTTGGGTGAGCCGGAGATTCAATGTTTTTGCCCATTTTTTAGTGCGTTATGCCAAATGTAAGCCTGGCTCTGAGAAATATTGGGATTCTATTCCTTAATTTGTACCTCAAATAGTACTGGACGTTCTTCCAGTTATTGATGAAATTTATCATTTCCTCTAAAAAAAAAAAAAAAATAAATAAAACGTATCAATTAGAATCTCCGTCACCGTTAAATATCAGATTCACATTGGCGGTCGTTATAATAGAATCCCAAACAGGAAATATCCTTCTCTCTCCTTCGCTCTCCTCTCCCGCCTACCATAGCCACAGCGCAGACAGTACATCAACAGGGGAGTTGGATAAGAGGAGGGAAGAATTCCAATCTTTGAAATTCGTCAACAATGTCGACTGATTCTGCTCCAACTGTAGATGGCCTGTCCTTGGCGGACACCGTGGAGAAGGCGGAGTTCTCCCAACGTGTCCTGATCCGATCCATTGCGAACCGCCCCGACGGCGGTGAAGGTTTAGCCGGTCAAGTTATTCAGGTCGGAGGATGGGTCAAAACCGGTCGTGAACAGGGGAAGGGCGCCTTCGCGTTCCTGGAACTCAACGACGGTTCTTGTCCGGCGAACCTACAGGTTATGGTGGATTCCGATGTTTATAAGCTAAGCGATTTGGTGCCCAGAGGTACTTGCATACACGTGGAGGGCGAGCTGAAGCTGCCTCCCGAGGGAACCAAACAAAAAATTGAGCTTAGAGTTTTGAAGGTTTTGCATGTGGGGACTGTTGATGCCGCCAAGTATCCTTTGCCCAAGGGCAAAATTTCGCTTGAAGTTCTCAGGGATACTTCTCATCTTCGGTCCAGAACTAACTTGGTAATTACTTATCCTTTTTCCCCCGTGTTGGCGATTCATTGTGATTTTGGGGAACTTTCTTATGGAGATTGTATGATTTTATTTTTGAATTGATATCCCTCTTTTCAGTTTCAATCTAAAATTCCACTCTCGCCCTAAGATATCAAAAAAGATGGTCAGCAAACATAGGCATAACTTGATGTTGTACGCTAGAGGACGATAAAAGGGTTGAAATTTTTAGTTGAAATTTTTGCCTCGTCTAAAAGGAAATTTTTTTTCGACATGTGTTTTTATAACCTTCAATTGAGGGAATAATTTGATTTCATTTTGATCAAACCTAGGAGCAGGGAGAAACTCCAAATAGAGTGATCTTTTTCTCCCCATGTAATCGGAAGTAAAAGAAGGCTCAGGACTGCGATGATGACTAGTGGCTAATTTCCTTTTGAAAAGGAGGAGATGCGAGATAGTTCATTACATCCATTCCACTTCGGACTCAAAAATCCCATAAGCAAATTGGCATCTACAATCCCTAGCTCTGTAGCCGAAATAGAAAGATGAAAGCGGCGAAGGGCCTTAAGCGTGTGATTTTTTCTTGAATTGATGTACCTTAAAATTGTTTGATTCATTACTGATTTGGCATCCTGCAGATAGAGAATAAGGCTGATTAGGTTGTAGTACAGTATCGGTGGTTGTTGGGAATGCTTTCTTTCTTTACCCCCTCCCCTAATTTTTCTTCTTCGAGCTATCTGTAATGTGTATATTGAGCTTTTAGTTTCATTTATGAAAGTATTGGATACGAGTTTCAATACCTACTGCTTTTTACTCGATTGGGAGGTTTGGATATGACAATATCTATTCGTCCTTGAAAATTTATGTAGATGTTTGAAAAATCTAGATAAGTGGAGTTGTAACAGTTGATCATATATGTTTATTGCTAGATCTCTGCCATTGCTCGAATCAGGAATGCTTTGGCTTATGCTACACATACATTTTTCCAGAAACACGGTTTTCTTTATATACATACTCCTATTATAACTACCAGCGACTGTGAGGGTGCTGGAGAGATGTTTCAAGTCACCACTTTATTCAGTGAAGCTGAAAAATTGGTGAAGGAGATGAAGCAAAGTGCTGTTGATCCTGCTGCTTTGGAAGCTGAAATAAAAGATACCGAGCTGATTGTCAAAGAGAAGGGGACGGCTGTTGCTGAATTGAAATCTGCAAAAGCAAGTAAGGAAGCAATAAAAGCTGCTGTTGATGTGCTGAAAAAGGCACAAGAAGATGTTATAAAACTTCAGGAGAAGTTTAAGCTATTAGAGAGAGTTAGGCTTAGTGCAGGTTTACCCACCAGGAATAGAAGTATAGACTACTCCGAAGATTTTTTTTCCCGTCAAGCATTTTTGACTGTTTCAGGGCAGCTTCAGGTTGAAACGTATGCTTGCGCTCTTAGTAGTGTGTATACGTTTGGACCAACTTTTCGAGCTGAAAACTCACATACTTCAAGGCATCTAGCAGAATTTTGGATGGTGGAGCCTGAAATTGCCTTTGCAGATCTCCAGGTATATTTCATCATTTGCTGCTTTCAGATTGCTAGCAAAAAATAAACCAATACCATTTGTGGTCTGAAAGATGAGATGGGTCTAATGGCACTATGTAGTTTAGTAATGGAGACCATTTCTACTTGGAGATTGTGAGCTTGGTGACATCTTGAAAGTTGTACTTATGACATATTTGAGGATCTGCTACTCATAAGATAGAAATGACATATTTGAGGATCTTCCACTCGTAAGATAGAAATTTCAGTGGTGTAAATAGTTAGACTTGGAAGGACCTCCAAATCTTGTCAGATGCATTCTTACTTTACATGTTTACTTTTTGGTTAATATTTTTCGCTAAAGCTTTATCTTTTGGCGTATTTTTTCATCATGTCTCACATCGCTATTTTGCTGTGCCAGAGTACGGCTGAGTGGATTTTTATTTTTTTTATTTTTGCAGGATGATATGAAGTGTGCAGAATCATATGTGAAATTTCTGTGCCAATGGTTACTTGATCATTGCTTTGATGACATGGAACTTATGGCGAAAAATGTCGATGGAACTGCTATTGACAGACTTAAAGCAGTAGCATCGAGTGACTTCCACCGGATATCGTATACAGATGCAGTTGCAATTCTTGAAAAAGCATCCGAGGTTAGGAAATTTGACAACAAAGTAGAATGGGGTATTGACTTGGCATCTGAACACGAGAGGTAATGCACTTAATATATACTTCTTCAATTGTCTGATAATAAGTTTGTGTACATTCTGAATCTTGTTTTTTCCATTGCATAGATATTTGACCGATGAGGTGTTCAAAAAACCAGTCATTGTTTATAACTACCCCAAAGAGATTAAAGCCTTCTATATGAAGGTCAATGAAGACGAGAAGACAGTTGCAGCGATGGATGTCCTTGTACCAAGGGTAGGTTTTTCCTATTTGAGGCAGCCAGTAGTTTTAGTTGATTGTATGCTGTTTGAGATAGTATTTATGTCATCTTTTTAGTGTTGCTTGGAAAGTTGAATAGTTTGCTTATTGGTTGATGCTGTAATGCCAGATTGGAGAACTGGTTGGAGGAAGTCAAAGAGAAGAGAACTATGAGGTTCTTAAATCAAGGTAACCACTTTCCTGCTATGGTGCTACTGAAGTGTGAATGATAGTACCTCAAGTTTTCTTCCATTGGTTGTGTTCTGTTTTTCTCTTTGGGATATATATATGGGTATGCCGACTTTTTGCCTTGGCCAAAGTGACTCTTTAGGAAAAATCAAAAGGCAGGTCGCTGATGCATTTGACTTGAATTGCAGGATTCTGGAACTGGGCTTGCCACTTGAACCATATGAGTGGTATCTTGACCTGAGGCGCTACGGGACAGTTCCACACAGCGGGTTCGGATTAGGTTTCGAAAGGATGCTGCTTTTTGCCACAGGAATTGAGAACATCAGAGACGTCATTCCCTTCCCAAGATACCCGGGAAGAGCCGATCTTTGAAACTCAAAAACACGGGGGATATGTGCATTGTTGATATTTGGTACTTTGTCACCTTGTGATTCTTTGTTCTTCTGGAGGTTTAACCAATGTAGGTTACTCGAATACAGGAAAGAAGTTGTTATTGTTGGATAGCTAGGTTTTCTGCAGTAATTGGTAGATTCATTTCTTGATATTATTTACTACACGTTTACAGTTCACACTGCTTTGGATCCACTAAATATGTGGGGAAGTTAACAACTTTACTCGGGGAACTTTATACTCCACAATAAAACCGCTGGATGATCTCCCTTCATTAATGGATTCCTGGGATGGCAAAACAGTTTCTTTCTATTGTTTTACCTGATGGCTCCATCTCTGAGACATACGATGAACACAGGAAACTAACAGTTTTTTTTTTTTTTTTTTCCATTTGTTTTAAGTGATGGTTTCAATCGCTGGTACAATGACAATATGTAACTAGCTGTGGTGCTGCCTTTCTCAAAACGAAAAGGCCAAGAGAGACCTGTTTTGCCCGGAAAAAAAAAGACCCAACAAAGGAACTGATTGCGCTAGAAGGAGGGCTTGAACCTCCGACCTTGTGGTTAACAGCCACACGCTCTAACCAACTGAGCTATTCCAGCTTACTGAGAGTATATGGTACTATAATTATCAAAATCACTTACGTCTCTAAACAAACAAATTTTCCGGTGAAATAAACAAACAAATTTTAATGTGGACTTTTTTACAGCAGAATCATTTCTAGAATTTAGTTAGGGCACCCTTTCAGATGTAGGATGTAACTAAGGGTATGTTTGTTTCGTTTTTTTAGTGTGTGTTTTTAGGTATTTTTTTTATATTGGGAATGTAAAAAAGTATATTGAAAATGTAAAAAAGTACGGTGGGATGGGACTGTTGTTATTAAAATAATCGGAAAAAATCATCCAAAAAATCAAAGAAACAGAGCCTAATAGTCCACTTACTAAAATAGGTACTCCCTCCGTCCCATAATTATTGTCCAGTTTTACTAAAATGAAAGATTTTATTTTTGGTCAAACTTAACTATATTTTACCTTAAACAACCGGATATACCCCTACATAAGTAATTGTTTAACCACTAAGATTTTATGGATAATGTTTTTTACTAAGGACAAATGTGTAACTTGATCCATAAAAAGTCAAATTGGACAATAATTTTGGGACAAAATTTTTTGGGGCAAAGTAGACAATAATTATGGGACGGATGGAGTATTATCAATTGTAAGTTTACTCTATTATCCAATGCTAAAATTTTTCCCAATCTTTTCAATTTCTTCAATAATCGATGACTTAAAAAAATAAGAATAAAAATGATAGTCCTTCACATGCGACTTCCCACGACGTGGCTTCATCATTTTTTTTAAAAAAATTTATTTTTCTGTGTTTAAAGATTACAGAAAGTCAAGTTTATCCTCTCATATTAGCATCAACATCAGGTTACTTTTTTTTTTACGTCCTAGTTGACCAAGCTTAGAAGAAAAAAGGAGGTAGTAAAAAGTGGAAACAATTAAGATCATTCATAACTAGAGCTAGCATCAATTCAGTAAATTGAAGTAAGAAGGGACCACATACAAACAGAAGTATACAAACAGAAATCTAATCACATTTCACATGGTGTAGCATTTAGCTACCAAGTCCGCATACACGGTGTAGCATTTAGCAAAGTGTTTTTGTTAAAATGTTCTGGTCTAACTAGATGAGGGAAAGCCATTCTGATCCCCGCTAATTCACCATTATAACCCGACATAAAACTAGTATTGAAGAAACAAAGGGTATTCTACTGTTATATTTATGCAAGCCTGAGAACTGCTACTGCAAGAATCGCTGCTGCTCGAAAGTAAATTTCCTTGAAACTTTCATCCAACTTATCCAATATCTCATCCTCTCTCAAATCCAATTCTGGTGCACTCTTGTTGATGGTGAGTACAGTATCCCTCAATTTATTTACTGCCCAAGAAAGCCAAACAAGCCCAACACCTAAGCTGGCACTAAGGAGTTTTGTACCACAGAACGGCACCTGACAGCAAGCCACCTTGCAAACCACAGAGAAGAGAACGGCCAGACCAGTCCCTGCAATGCTGGCAGAAAACTGCGTGAGAACCTTTGGCAGGTGGGGACCCGACCTTCTGAGCGAATGGATAGCAGTTTTCCCATTTTGGTTCTTGTCAAATATGACAGATAGAAGGCTTTCACATGCACGGAATGAGTTGTTTCTGTATGGCTCCCCATTTTTCACAGCTTTCAAATTGCTCTTCTTTTTAGGTGATGCCTTGCTCTTCATTTTCGCACACCTGTCATACAAACAAAATGTCAGCTGGGAAGTATAACATGTCATTTCTGTGATGCATCCACATTTAGCTATAATGCCAACGTAGCAAGAGTTTTTTTTTACTTTGTATTTTGCAAGCAATGAAACAACATGACATTTCAGGAGAAAAGGAAAAATGCAAATGCAGGATTCAAAATATTGACAAGCTCATCAAGTACCTCTTCAATGAATCCTTAGACACTCCTGTAACATCAACTCTTGCTGCTTTTTTAATCCTCCTGTTACAAAGCACAAGAAACCTTCAGTAGTGCAACAATACACACTCTCCAGACTCCAGTTAATAAAATAATTGTAGGAAATTCATTGCAAATTAACAAATTTAAATTTAAGGTGAGAAATTGAGATACCTATCAAAGTAAGGAACCACCATTTCCAGCTTCTTCCACTTGATTGAGTTCTTTGATGAGTACAGCTCAGAAAGGGATGAAAATACATCCTCCATTTCTACCCGTGAACCAGCAAGTGACACTTGTTCATCAGGTTGAGGGTGATGAATATCATATGTAATACCTGAACCGTGGCTCACATCTCCCATGAGAATAGGTTGTTCAGAGAAAAATTCACCACTGAGAGAAATTAGAGGAGGCTGATTCTCATAGTCAAGAGGGGCCTCATAAGGTATGAGGGGCAGTTGAGGCCTGTTCCTGACTAGAGTTTGACGTTCCATCCAATCAAAAAGCACAGATAGATCTATGCCACTTCTTTCTAAATCACTGTGTCCCGACACGAGCAGCCTCATAAATTTCTCACGCAAGGTAAATTGTTTTGCTAACCCAAAAAGTAGAGAATCAGGGTGCTCTGCTGCAAAATGACACGATGGAAGACAACATTTAGTGTATTTTAAGTTTCACAAAACTAATCCACAGTTTTTAATACGGGAATCACATAAGTTGAGAAAAATTAGCTGAATCACAAAGATGCTTATTCATGCAGGTAAATTTGGGTTCTTTCCCTCGTTGGACTAAAATTAAATCAGACAATTGACTTCATACTGCCTGTGAGGTTAAATATTAATAAATCTTTTTACAACTGTAAAAATCAAGTAATTATCCAGTCATATGAGTAGATATTCAAGAAGATTACTGGAAGATGAAGCAAAGAGGGAATCAGTGCAATGAATACCTTGACCATCATTGAACACATGTTTAGGTGTAGTTGATTTGTGCCTGAAAAAGTCGTTACTGCCCAAGATACTAACTGGTGGTTTGAACTGGTCCTCTGTCAAATGTAGTGCTGGTCTGTACAAATATGCGTGCTGAGAATCTTGGCTCAATCCTGGATTGGAGAGAAGGGTTTGATAGTCCTGGCCAAAATAGGAGTACGTTAATATTCAGTCACTGAGATTAAGTGATAATTATGATAAACTACTATTATCTGACAAAACGATGTCCGTGCTAGCAAAGTATTCATGTTTGGCTTAAAGGGTATTGAAAATAGACCCGAAATATCTCATTTGAATATGAAAAAATAACATGAGAAGGACCTAGGAGCCAAAAAGTATCATGTCATACTGCATAAAGGGAGATTAAAAAAGGAGTTGAAACCAAGGACTCAAGCAACGCAATAAGAAAACAAAAGCAGAATATTTGAGTTTCTATACAATGTCACCCTCCCTTATGATCCCTACTATCATTATAAGTTTTGACAAATCACCTTTCTTACACTAGCTATCAGTTTGATTAGATGAGCAAAATTAATGAACCAAATAACACTCTTACAGTGGTGATACCATCGAGTAAGATACAAACAGAATTGGCGAACTTTATTCATTCGCTAGTGCAAACAACTCAAGTCAAGCAGACAAACTGGGGAAAAAAATTGAATGGCAATCCGAACCCAGTAAAAGAGAAAAGAAGGAAAAACCCTTGTCAAACCCGAGTTTCAGTCAGCCTACATTCGTATTAAGACTCAAATAAAACCTCGGAAGTCACGAAAAAAACCTGAAGAAACAAATAACCCAAACAAACAAACACTGAATGAAAGCAATTGAAGCCCTGAAGAAATTGGGAATATAATTACCTTAAACACCTTGCCGCTTAGAGCTTGCTCAGCTGGATGGAAGGAGAAGAACCCAGGAGGATAACCATGGGAAGCCACCAAACAAAGCTCGGCCATTTCGGAATCCGAAACCCAATTTGTTGTTCTTCTGGCAGCTTCGTCTGATAACCCCTAATTGGGTCATAAGAAATCTTCTTCGTTAAACTTATCCATCGATTCCCAACCGCACATAAATCAAAATCCCAGAAAGTATCTGTCTTGTCCCGAATTTCTCGACCTGGGAATTACTAGCACAATTTATTAAAAACCCAAAAACGAAATGGAATCAGAAAATGACTGTCTGGATGTACGAACATATGTGATCCGGATTGGTTGGTTTCTTTGAGGGGTGGGGCGGATGTGGGCGCTGTGTCCAGGTTGGATTTGGAATCCAGACAAAAGGGCCTTCACTTGGATTCTAGTATTCTACTTCTCATCAATTCTTTCTTTTTTCTAAAAAAAAAAAAAATCTTTTTTCTCTGGCTCTGTTCTTCACCAGTCCCGTAACGACGTAATCATTCGCGCCTTTGGTCAGTATGATGAAATGATGATTATTTATTACCGTTCGATGATTACCTTTGTGTGGCCCCTGCCATTTTATACCCTTCTTTTCTAATGCGTGTTCAACGCCTTTTCTTTCTTTTCTTTTTTCTTTTCCTTTCTTTTTTCTTCAACGAATTAACATAGTACATTCTATTCTTTGTTTGGTGTGTGTGTGTATTTTTTTTTCAAAATAATTTAATAACAATTGTTCCATCTCAACATATTTTTTATATTTTTAATACAACTTTTCACATTCACAATAACAAAAATATCTAAAAACACATAATGAAGAAACGATCCAAACATATCCGGATTTAGAGTTTAGAGTTTCGGCGGTTCCCTATAAAACTCTTGGATATTTGACTATTTTCTCATAATAGAATGGTATAGTTACTCTTAAGAAATGTTGGTTTAATTCTCCATCTTTGTGAACAAAGAGTAGCTGCAGAGTTCATGAAACTAAAGACTCTTGTTAGAGTAATATTGGATGTGTGATTGGCATGTTGAAAATCAACAATGTAGAGGTGATCAATTTGGCTTAGAGTTTGACAATGACAATAAACATATGTGGTAGCGAGATGAATGAGCATATAACCAATATAAGTCAACTTTGACTTTAAGATTCTTAGAGCAATAATAATAGGAAAAATACAATTTATTTAATTAATGATATTAGTCTCAACTCTCAACCCATTTTGTTCATTATTAAGTTAGAAATCATCAATTTGTTTTCATTGGTGCACCAAAAAAAAAAAAAAAAGGAAAAAAAAAAAGAAAAAGAGAGAGAGAGAGAAAGAGGGAGAGCACGTTGTTGAGCATCTAAATTTTAAAGTGTCATAGAAAATGCAGAAAAATTATTAGGTACAGTTGCTCTGTATCTTGGTTTTTAGTGCAACAAGTATTAGTACTCCTATTTTGGTGATATAACTTCTGTATAAATTATCTCTTTCCCCCAAAATTACTATTTTACTGTTATTATTGTGTTTAGCTACACAATCCTACGTGGTACAACAGTTGCATTGAATAATTTCTCAAAAATACAAACCTTTTCAAAGTGATTGTTCTCAAGGTTAATAGTTAATTTATCTGTTTGGTTTTTTTTTTCTGGTTTCTCTTAATTTTTTTATTAACAAATATCTCATATTATATATTTTTTTATATTCTCAATATTCCTTTTTTTAATATTTTTAGTAAAAAGATACTTAAAAATACACATAAAAAAACCAAACATATTAGATTCTGAGATCAATTATCAAAATCCATTTGATAAATTATTATTTAGATACGTTTGTTTTGTCTTTTATCAATGATATTTGTCAATTATACGTGTGAAAACCCTGTATATTGTCACAAAAAGTATAGTCTAAAAAATTATTTTAGTACAAGAATGTAATCATTTTTTATCAGAGCAATAAATTAGCCCCCACAAGTAGTTAACCTACAACCGACCACAAGGGATTTCTCTCTCCCGTCGGCTGTAATTTTCTGTCGGAGGCTAGTTGCAGCGCCTATATCATCTCCACCACTCTTAACTTTTCCTCTCTCTGTCTTTCTCTTCCCGTCAGCATTTATTTATTTTATATTTAATATATATTCTATGTATATATATTCATTCCTCTTTCTTCTATCTTTCTCTCTCTAACCAATCTCAATACAGAATTTCCCGTTCTCTCTCTCTCTCTAAAGCCCTAGAAAATTCGCCTTCTGGAATAGCAGATTCATCGTCCCATGCGACAACCTCTAGATCCCCACATCCAATTTTGGAGATATATCCCTTGATCCTTCTCCCCGGAATTGTTTTGCCCCAAATCCCCTTGAAAGAACCCTAGATCTAATCTCATTTTCTCAACAATTAATTCCCCGGATTATATCGGCTGGAAATTCAGCTGATTGTGGAGTCAGGGAGTCACGATTTGATCGGTTAGCTGCACCCATGGTGGGCATGGGAAGGGTTTACAATGGAGAAACGTCAAAGCCGTCATCATCGACGACGTCTTCTACGGCGCCTCCGGCGGTGACGACGTCGACGTCGATCACCGAGACGGTGAACGGTACCCACGATTTTAAGATTAACGGGTATTCCTTGGCTAAAGGGATGGGGATTGGAAAGTACATAGCTTCCGATATTTTTATGGTGGGAGGCTACGCGTGGGCGATCTATTTCTATCCGGACGGCAAGAGCGTGGAGGATAATTCGACCTATGTTTCTCTGTTTATCGCTTTAGCCAGCGAGGGAACCGACGTTAGGGCGCTCTTCGAATTGACGCTTCTGGATCAGAGCGGGAAAGGGAGGCATAAGATTCATAGCCACTTTGGAAGGGCCTTGGAGAGTGGGCCTTACACTCTTAAATACCGAGGGAGCATGTGGTTCGTTTTCCTTCTTCCCGTTCATTTATAATCATCATTACCTTATCAATATGATCCTTTGTTCATTTCATATAGAGAGGCTTCTTTTGATGTATGTTTTGCTTCATTTTTTTTGAGCTCGTTTACTTGCAAGTTGCATGTGTAGGACATTTACCCTGATCTGAATTGGCATAATATGTTGGGATTTCGTCGGTTACGCGATAGCACACTGCATTTAGTTATCCTGTAAAAAAGGGATTCTTTTGATTTAATGGTTACTCGAGTTATGTACAATATTGGGGTTGAATTTCCAGCTTAAATAGTTGGCACTATGGGATTGTTTAGCTCGCTACAGTACCCCAGGTGTCTGTCTGGAGTGGACTTCTCTGCCTGAAATGTATCTCTTGGCTCATTATCTTGTTGTCTCCTTAGCTGCTGTTGAAGAATGTTCTCCTATGTCCACATTTTTGTCACTTAATGATTAGTTTTAGGCATCTTTAGAGGAAAGTAAATTTGGAAATGAAATAAAGTTTCCTGAAACTTATTTTGATTGCATGTAAGGAATGATGGTAATGCTTTGATGTTATCAGTGCTTACATGAAAAATTAAGGATTATCCTAATGGGGGAAGAGTCGGGTAATTGATTGGAATTGGGACGATGCATGGGACAAGTATTGTCTTCTGTGTTAAGTTTTGGAGCAAGATTCCAATTCTGCAATTTCTCAAGCTTCTATTGCTTTTATGTATTGTTTCATACTATGTGTTTCTGTCATTCGTTATTTCATAAATTATAATGATTTGAGGTTTTGCTGCAGGGGATATAAGCGGTTTTTCAAGAGAACAGCCTTGGAAACATCGGACTACCTTATGGATGATTGTCTTCAGGTCCATTGTTGTGTTGGTGTAGTTAGATCACAGACAGAAGGACCTAAAATCTACTCTATACCTGTCCCACCTTCCGATATTGGTCAACATTTTGGGCAGCTACTTGAAAGTAAAAAGGGAACTGATGTCAGTTTTGTGGTCAATGGGGAACAATTTTCTGCTCACAAGCTAGTGCTTGCTGCTCGATCTCCTGTATTTAGGGCTCAACTATTTGGCCCTATGAAAGATCAGAATACAAATTTTATAAATGTTGAAGACATAGAGGCTCCTGTTTTCAAGGTCCAGTGCCTAGTATTCTGTTCTATTTTATGTTTTGTATTTCAATTGGAACGTCATCTTGTGTTCTTTTTCGTATTCATACATGTAAATTTTCTATGAAATTCCTTCAGCAATCTTTCCATTTCTGTGTTTTGTATTGCTAGGGGAATGATGACGGCAATATTGTTCCTGCAATTGTATATTCTCCATTGATATTGAAGCAATAATTTCTTGTAGGTTATGCAGTTTGCATCTGTTTTTTGGCCAACATATATTATGATTGAGCTCTTCGTTGTGTACATTTAACAGTTCATAGAGTGCATGTTAGGGTTTTTACTTTTGAGCCATTTTCTCACTATTATTATTTTTACTGGAACTTGTTTTGCCTAAGTTTCTCTCTAAAGTGAATTTTGGGAGGCTGGATTGGTGAATATCTGCCATTTGATGGTGTGTGGGTAGTGTTTTGTCTTTTACATTTAGTTTTAGATTATCACGTTATGTTAATTGCTCAGGTTTTCTTACGCCACTTGGCAACAAGTGGAAGAGATATCTGTACTAGTTGTGGGAAGTATGTTTTGTTCATGATAAATGGATTAGATGGACTTCTATCCGAATGAGTTGATATTTTAATTCTGGTCGCTTGTGTACTTCCGTGTTTAATCCAAGACATTCCAGACAATATTTTGATATTTAACGTTTTATGATACATGTGTGAGGTCTCTAGAATGATGTGATCTTTTGGTTCATTTGTGATGAATCCATATAGCTGGTTCAAGCCATTTTATGGTTGCCCTTGCATTGTATTGCTAATTAATTCTGTAATATCTGACCTTATGCAAAATATCTTGGAGAAAACATGAAAGTATAGTTTGCAAAAAGAGGGATCTCTGTGATGACCATCATGGGAAAGTGGGCAGCATTTTGGGAATTAACCATGAAATTTAATGTGCTTCATGGAAGATAACATGCTTGAAATCTCATCTCACTGATGAGATTTGGAGAATTTTTTTTTTTGTGTGTGTGAGCGTCTTCAGTACTTGTGAAATTGGTTAAACATTTGGTGCATTTTGAATAAGCACCGCCATTCAACATATCTCCCCAGAGTCCTAGATATTTTTTCTGCGAATGTTAATAATTATTTGTTTTGCGTTCTCGCCTTTTCTATCAAATGCACTATTTGGTCATGGCCTTGCTATACCTTTTGCTTTTAGGTTTTGTTGTATACAGTGATTGATTTGCAACTTCGATACTGACACTTGAGTGCTTGTTTCATTTTTTTTTCGTACAGGCTCTACTTCATTTTATTTACTGGGACAGCTTACCTGATTTGGAAGAACTTACCGGTCTGAACTCAAAGGGGGCTTCAACCTTGATGGCTCAACATCTGCTTGCTGCTGCAGACCGATATGGTTTGGATAGGCTTAGGTTGATATGCGAGTCTAATCTCTGCGAGGATGTTGCTATAAATACTGTTGCAACTACTTTGGCGTTGGCAGAACAACACCACTGTTTCCAGCTGAAGTCTGTTTGCCTTAAATTTGTCGCCTTGCCAGAAAATCTTAGGGGTAAGTTTCTTATCCTTTTGAGAAGAAATTATCAGTTTGACAAGGATTATGTGCTTGCACATTGTTGAACCAGTAAACTCTAGGATATGAGTACATGTTGTCTGTCCTGTCGTAAGGACTCCTTTATTTTGTATATTTGTGCATCTTCTGCTGTTAGTCACATATGTGAAAGATCTTGTTTTGGTAGCTTAAATGGTTGAGTGCGTACTGATTCTTTACTAATTCTCACTTGAGCTTGCTGCTTGGTTTTGGCCATCTTAACATGATTTCTAAGCTTGCTTTATGTGCCAGATTCAGTCGTAGAATTCCAACTACATGGCCATGAAATGTAGTGAAGTCTGTAGAAGTTGATAGATAGCGAAGCATTTATATTTGTAATATCAATGCATGCCATATCAATTGCAGCTATTGGTTGACTATGAAACTTTTTTAGCATATGGAATGATAATTGTATTTTAGAAATGTGTTCAGTGAGGCACTTGATATTTATTTTGCATCCAAGATGTATGAGAATTTGGTACTACTTGCTTGGTGGCATGTAACTGATTGGTAGTGATTCAAAACTGAGTACTAATGTGTGCTTAAATTTGTTGTTCTTTTGCAGCTGTCATGCAGACGGATGGGTTTGAATACTTGAAAGAAAGTTGTCCAAATGTGCTTACAGAACTGTTGGAGTATGTGGCAAGGATCAATGAGCATTCGGTTATCAGTAGTAAGCCATTGAACGACGGTGTAATGGACGGTAGTGATATCAATGGCCGGCGTGTAAAACAGAGGTTATAGTAGGTTTTGCGAATCAGCCATTGTCACTGTAGGTTTTATAGAGAGTAGCTGGGGGAATCAATTTTCAAGGTTAGAGAAACATTTTTTTAAAATGCAGATTCTAGCTTGACGAAGTTGTAAATGACATATCATGTATTATCCCTGTATTTTTTTCAAGAAATATTACCTGTGTATCACATTGCTCTGTACTCTGGAAGATTTCCGAACTTTGTTGGATGTTTCCTATGATATAGTTGGGTGGTGTTAATACAGACTGTTAAAACTGACTGTTTCATCTGTGCCGTTGAGCACTCACCTCCGGTAAACATCATAGTTTAACTGTATTGATTAGGACCAAACTTTGATTTTCGTATCTATAGTCTTTTTAGGGGTTGAGTGAACTATGATTTGGTCGAAGTTGAAGCAGAAGCCAGTAGACATTACCGGAGGAAGAAGTTAAGGCTTCTATTAGGAACTTATTCCTGCGTTGGAAGTTTGGCAATAACTACGGCGAATTCATTAATGAACTCCTGACGATTTCCAAATTCAACTTAGTCTTCACAAATCCTATTTTGAATAGCAAAGTTGGTTTGTACAAGCTTGAATTTCACTAAAATTATACCGCATGGATTCTGCAATAGTTGGGAAATTCAAAGAAAGGCCTTCCACTATACTGAAAGAGACCCCTAAAACTAGTGTTGAGATTCTGAGCCGACTGAGCCTTTGTTTACTCTGACATATCAACATGAGCAAAATCCGACCCAAAAAATCATAGATTCAAACGATACAAAAGATTGCAGACCCCAAAAGATTGGCGACAAACTCGACATTGAAGTACATAGCAGCAGGCTCAAAAAGCTCGCCCAAAAGCTGGTTCAACCCCTCATCGCTGGTAATCGCTTGCTTGATGTGAGTTGGTTGGATAAAATCCTTGTTCTGCTCCTTGGCTGCTTTTCCGGCAAGTTCTAGAACCTCAGCCGCGATGCATTGGAGAACCGCGGAGAGGAAGATCGGAGCTCGGTGGCTGACTTTCTCGCAGTACCCATTGCCCAAGAGTGACTCATGGAATTCACGAACAGGGAACTGAAGATGTGCTTTCCTTGCTGGCGCGTCGGCGTAGTCGTACCATTTCCGGCCGCCGCCGCCGTTGGAATTCATTGTCGATCGGAGGAGAAAAAAAGAGTGCTGGGGTCTTTTTTGATCTGTTGACTGTAACCCGCGAGAGAAAAAAGATGGGGTCGTTTTGATCCTTTGTAGCGTATGTATGGAATGGAATACAACGTAAATGTATGAGAGAGCTTTATATATCAGAGTCGCATACAAATTAGGTGAATCCGTTTGGGACTCGGTTTTTGATTGGTTAGACCGCAAAAAAAAAAAAAAAAAAACCCTCGGAAGGACCAATTTTATGTGTCCGAATTCATAGGTTTAAAATACTAATTTATCGAATGTTATTTAATGCCGCAAGTAAAGACCAATTTTATGTCATTCATTGGTATGTTCAAGTTTTAAGATAAAATTGAACACAATCAATTACACAAATCAATCATCATGAAAATTCCAATCAACTAAAACTCAACAATATGATAATTGTTATACCATTTTAAAATTTTAAAATGGTATTTCATTAACAACCCAATCAGTAATAGTGATAAGATCAAACAAAATAAAATGATAGTATTGGTTAAGAAATCTTATTGTATAAAAGCGGCCATTGTAAATATGAGTTGCCGCAGAGCTGCTTTGAAAAAATAAAGCAACACAAAAATATACCTCTCATCATAATAAATTTATACTACCTTTTTGAATTTTAGATTGATTGAATAATGATTATACAATAATTTGGGTAGTATGTGGATTACATAATCAAATTCTTACAAATATTCCATCAAATTTAATTAAAAAAAATTTGTATTTAATTACTGAATGAGAATCGGGAATAAATTTTCTGGTTTAGTATATGCAATTTTAACCTAAGATCACTTAGCATATTTGCCAAAAAAATCAACTTTAGTCTTCTATTAAAAAATTCAGAAAACTTATAAAATGAATAATGTTCGAAAATTAATGTCCAGTACAATGTTCCATGCAAAGGTTCTAGTAAATTATCTATTTAGGAGATGATATATTTATAATTTATATAACTTCTGTACTAGAGACTTTAATATAATAACTTTATAATGATTAAAATGTTATAAAATAATTATTTTGAGAAGGAAAATACGGGAAAGAAGTATAGGAAGCAAAGGATTTATTCATGTATTTTTTGTGCAAGTTTCACTACTACATAAACCTCCTATTTATAGCCATCATCTAATGGCAATTTTATAAATAAATAGTAGTTATCAAATCAAAATACTATACATGGATAGTATCCCTTACTTGATGCATGCTCATATTTTAAGTAAAATTTTGTCATTCACACTATTTATAACACTCCCCCTTGAATGGTAAAATAGTTGTTTTAATTATGCTTAAGATACTGCCTCGTTAAAAACCTTGCCAAAGAAAAACCCAGTGGAAAAAAAAAACCTTTGGCTAAGGAAAAAAAGAATACAGTGCGTAATTTTCTCCCCCTGGTAATAACATCGATAATTCTTCACATGTTGTGTAGGTGTCACATACCGATATTATGAATATGCTTTCTAAATGTTGCAGTAGGAAGTGCCTTCGTGAAGAGATCAACTGGATTATTATTTGACATGACATATTGAACATCAATGTCATTTTTCTTGATGAGCTCTTGAGTATATGCGAAGAATTTAGGTGGTATGTGTTTCGTCAGATCATTCTTGACATATCCTTCTTTTAACTGTTCAAGACTTGTAGAATTATCTTCATATAAAATGGTTGGACTTTTCTAGACTGGTAGACCACGCGACGTTTTGATGTGTTGTATCATTGACCTGAGCCAAACATATTCTCTACTAGCTTCATGCAATGCAATTATTTCTGCATGATTTGAAGAAGTAGAAACCAATGTTTGCTTCTGTGAATGCCAAAAAATTGCAGTTCCTCCATACGTGAACACATATCCAGTCTGAGATTTTCCATGATGAGGATCAGATAAATAATCTGCATCTGCATAACCAACTAAATCTTATTTTGAGTCATTAGGATAAAATAAGCCTAAATCAATACTTCCCTGAAGATAACGAAATATGTGTTTGATCATGTTCCGATGCCTTCTTGTTGGTGATGAGCTATGTCTTGCTAATAAATTAACTGCAAAAGAAATGTCAGGTCTAGTACAGTTAGCAAGATACATAAGAGCTCCAATGGCACTGAGGTATGGTACTTCGACACCAAGAATCTCTTCATCCTTGTCAGGGGGGCGAAATGGTTCCTTTTCAGTTTTGAGTGTTCTGACGATCATTGGAGTACTTAAAGGGTTTGCTTTATCCATATTAAAATGTTTTAAGACATTTTCTGTGTAATTTGATTGATGCACAAAGATTCCATTGTGCATATGCTCAATTTGTAAACCAAGACAATACTTAGTTTTACCAAGGTCTTTCATTAAAAATTCCCCCTCTAAGTATGCAACCACCTTATCAATTTCCTTTAATGTTCCAATTATATTTAAATCATCCACATAGACAGCTATAATGGCAAATCCAGATGTTATTTTCTTGATAAAAATGCATGAACACAGGACATTATTTGTATATCCTTTATTTATCAAATAATCGCTTAATCGATTATACCACATGCGTCCAGACTGCTTTAACCCATATAATGATCTTTGGAGTTTGTCTTTGTAGATGTAGATCTTCTTGGCTGTGAGTTCATATCAGTTGCTGAGGCGTGTATGTGTTATGAGTCGTATGCTAGAAGACTTGGTTTCGGTATTTAGCGCTTTAAGAATAGGTACAGGGCAGGTGGCGACTTAAATGTGAAATAGTTTGCTTGCAATAAACAAGGGGTTACGAAGAGTAGAGGGAAAGGGCTTCACAACAGGATTATTACTCGTACGGGATGTGGTGCAATGCTGCAGATTAAGGTTGATGCGGAAGGCATTTGGAAGGTGGTTGTGCACACAGTTGATCATACCCACGAAATGATACCTGAGAATCAGCGTCACTTGGATCAGTCACATAGGCAGATGCCTGATAATGATGTAGTGCTTCTAGGTGGGATGAAGGAGCAGGGAATTGGCCTTATACACGGGTATAAGATGCTGCATAAGCAAGGGAATGGTTCTCCAAACCTTAACTACACCATCACGGATGCGAGAAACAAGGTGGCTGCACTTGAACATGCGAGGTGGGAGGGTGGTAATGCGAATAAGTTGCTTGATATTCTAAGGAAGAGGAAAGCAATTGAGCTAGACTTTTTCTTTGATTTCTTGCATGATGAGTCTTGTAGGTTAAGTGTCATTTTCTGGAGAGATGCTAAGATGAAACATGATTATGAGGTGTTTAGGGATTTGGTGGTACACGACACAACCTAGGACAACGAGGTACAAACTTGTGTGTGCGCCTTTTACGGGAATGAACTATCACTACCAAAACATCATGTTTGGGATTGGTTTTTTTGCTAAATGAAAAGTCCAAGTCGTTTGAGTGGCTTTTCTCTACCTTTTTGGAGTCAATGGATGGTAAAGAGCCAGCCACTTTGATGACTGATCAGAGTACATCAATGGCGACCACCATTTCGAAAGTTTTTAAGGAAGCACGTCATCGATTGTGCACATGGCACATATGCGAAAACTCAAAGAATCACATTGGCTATTTAAGGGCAAAGAAAGGGTTTATGGATTTGTTCTGTATGGTGTTGAGATGAACGGATACACAGGCTTTGATTACTACTGGAAGAAGTAAGTATCCTTTTTTGTAACTGTTTGGACAGAACATTGTTTTTTCTGAAATGAACATTGTAATTTCATAGGATGAGCATTGCAGTTTTGTAGGATGAACATTGTTTTTTCTGGCATGAACATTGTAGTTTCTTAGCATGATGGTCATTGTGTTTGTTCTTTTTTTCAGATTGTGTGATGATTATCAACGTGCTAATGATAAATGGTTATGGAAGTTACATTCCAATATGCATAAATGGTGTCCAGCCTGAAGAAAGACCGATTTTCTGGTGGTGCACTCTCTTCACAGAGGAGTGAGTCGATGAACAAGGCAATTTGTCAGGAATTCCCAATATGTATGCGCGTGTGTATCTTCTATGATCACTTTGAGGAGGTGGTGAAGGGCTGGAAGAAGAAAGATACCCATGCAAATTTCAGGTGTAATAACGGACGTGTGGAGATGAAGTTCAAAGATGTGAATTTACTTACGCATGCACGTGAGTTCTACACGATTGAAGCCTTCTTGTTATTTTAACAGCAATATGAATATGGTCTTTCTTGTGAACATTCGATGATTTAGCAAGTTAACGATGAGGTAGCTCTATATTATGTTAAGCGTAACACTATAGATGTTTTTCAGCACCAGGTTCATTATAATGTTCGGACACATGAGATTTGTTACACTTGCAACATGTTTTCCGATACTGAATTTTTATGCGATCATTGTTTACGTGTTTACAATGTAAACAATGTAAATTCTATTCCAGAATGTTACATTTTGGGTCGGTGGAGAAGGAACACTATCAAGGATTATAGTGTTATTGCTTCAGTTAGTAATGGAGGGTCTGGGGTTGTAGGTTCTACGATTTGGAGGTCAGATGTTATCGGCAAATTTATTAGGCTGGTTTCGGCAAGTGAGCCGTCTCCAGCAGCTAAACAGCTTATCGAGGACGGTATGAGTGTAATGGCAAGAGTGGTCGAGGCTGAAGTTGGAGCTATACAGTCTAGAGAGGCAGAGGAAAAAGAAGAGGCTTCAGCATCAAATGTGGTTGTTAATGATCCTGAGAAACTGAGGCCAATTGGTGAGACTAATGTAAGGTGGGTGAGTACTATGGAGAAGAAAAACAATCAAGCTCGAGGAAAGAGGAAGAGAGCTGCAACGTGAGGACAAAGAAAGCTATTTAAAGAAGGATTGCATCTAGTGAACCCGAAGTTGTTGGCCATTATGTGCATCCGGTCTGTTCTGATCAACGCTTGCAAGTTTCAGTTTCAAGCTGCACCCAAAGCGAGGCGGTTACATTTCTGGAGTTCCTGTGAACAAACATGCAGTTTTACAGGATGCACAATGGTGGCTTGGAAATGAACAATATATGCCTGGAAATGAACATTTTGTTTTTTTTTTTATTTCAGTTTCTCAGGATGAGCAATGTTAGGCTGGAAATGAACAATGACGGTTTCTGACAGTTTTGTTCAATTGTAATTGCCCCTTAAACTTCTCCTGGAAGTTATTAAATGAAAAGACACATTTACAATGAACATGGACCAATCTGAATTCCAAGTATTTATGTGCCTTTTAAATACTTCTCATGAATTCCAAGTATTAAATGAGAAGACACATTTCAGAATTCCCTAATATATATTCATTATCCATAGAAGAGGAATAGTCAGGGGCAGGGAGAAAATCAACAGGTTCATTATTAGAATTCATCTATAAAAAATGAGATCATCCTACCATTTTTACCACACTTGCAATTTTCCTATCTTCTCTACCTTTCTTTTTTTCAGCAAAAAAACATGTCTACTTCCACCAGATATCAAAGAATGCTTGAGAGGAACAACGGTATGCCCTTTTACTTCTTTTTATTCTATTTTTTTTTTCAATTTAAACGTGTTTGATTTCTAATTTTTGTGTTTTCATGTAGCACGACTGCAAGCAAGGGTTGATCCATTGAGGCTGATGATGAAAAGAACCCAGCAGTTTCTGAGGGATTCCAGCAACATAAGGACGAGGGGGGCACGAATGAATTGAGGATTTCCTCAACAGGGTAAGTGCAATTTGTGCTTTTTCTATTTTACTTTACTTCATGTGTTTATATTCAAGTACAAGCGAATGAGTTTTGAAATACTTATATTCAAGTTGCTTATCTTTGTATAATCAGGGTGATCCGGCAAGGCGAGCTTATCTACGTCAATTGCGTAGGGATGAAAGGAGGTTTTGGTACGCGATCTCAATTTCCTGGCAGTTGATATTGCTAAACAAGGAAATATGTACCAAGAATTGGTTCATATGCATGCTGCCCAAGACGCTGCTGCTGCTTGTCCCGCGCAAGATGCTGCTGCACCCTTGCCTCCCCATAACCCGCCCCCCAGAAACCATGATTGTCTTTTTGTTTTCTGAATAAATTTGTTAAACATTTGTTGGGATGTAAAACAATATTTTTACTTTTGATGTTTTTTTTTTGTGAACATTTTTCATTGGTCTGTAATCATTATTTATTTTTAATAATCTTATTTTGTTATTATCTGTTGTTTTTTCTCCTCTGACTAACAAAAAGTGTAGAGCAACATGAACATCACAGTTTTATAGGATGAGCACCAGGCAATACATGAAGCACATCAAGGGCTTGTTTGGCCAACATTTTGTTTTTGTTTTTGTTTTAGTTTTTGATTTGGTTTTGAGATGTGATTTAAAATGTGTTTTGAGATGTGATTTAAAATGTGTTTTGAGATAAAATTTAAAAAAATATTTGGGTAATATTTTAAATAAAATAATAATATTTTTAGAGAACCACCGGACTGCCTCCACCACCGGCGCCGCCTCCGGACCGTCGGCGGCGGTGGTGGGCGGTCCGGCGGCGGTCGGTGGCAGCGGAGGTGGTCTGGTGGTTGTGGACTAAAATTGTATAAAAATAATTTTTGGAATATTTTTTAAAAGATAAATTAAAAAGTTGTTTGGATAGTATTGGGATTTGTGTTTGAGAGGTGTTTTAAGTGGTAAAATGAGACAAAATGGCAAATTTTGGGTTGGCCAAACAAGCCCCAAGTTTCCTGAGATGAACTTTGCCGTTTTGCAGTGAACTTCAGGCATAGGATGAACTTTACAACTTCGCAGGATGAGCATTCCCTTCATGGAAGTGAACATTGCAGTTAGAAAGAAGAGATATTAGATTTTTTTTCCAAATGAAAGACGTTGAATTTAGGATGAACAATACTATTTTATAGGATGTGTATTGTACGTTGTTCAGTTCACAACATAAATATTTATTGAAACCAAATTGTGCAAATATTTAATTTTTTTTGTTTTATTTGTTATCAAGATGATAGTAGTACAAATCAATTAACTTATAAAATTAAACCAAAACAAAAGCAGCGAAAATTAAAAATTCATCGAATTGTCGGTTTAGTTTGTGCTGGAAAATGATTAACCCTATCCTAATCGCTTTAAAAAAGTTTCAACTAAAAAAAAAATTTTAAAAATTCATCTACAGATGAACATTGTGTTTTAGAGGATGAGGATTGTAGTTTAAACAGATGAACATTGTGTTTTACAGGATGAACAATATAGTTTATAAAAAAAAAAAATCAACACCGTGTCAGTTTAGGGTTCACGGTTTAGGCATCTCGATTATAGGTTAGGGTCTAGTTTGTGCGAGAAACGATTAACCTTTTAAATTTTTTGCAACCCATTAGGCTAGGCGAGACCTAGCCTAATCGATTGCAAAAAATATCAACAAAAAAAAATAAAATAAAAATTTAACTCCGTGTCGGTTTAGGGTTTAGGGTTTAGGGGGGTTTAGGCATCTCGATTATACGTTAGGGTCTATTTTGTGCTTGGAAATGATTAACCTTTTAAATTTTTTGCAACCAATTAGGCTATGGTCTCACTTACGAGACCCTAGCCTAATCGGTTGCAAAAAATTTCATCAAAAAAATATAATAAAAATTCATCGCCGTTTCGGTTTAGGGTTTAGGGTTTAGGAGGGTTTAGGCATCTCGATTATAGGTTAGGGTCTAGTTTGTGCCGAGAAATGATTAACCTTTAAAATTTTTGGCAACCGATTAGGCTAGGGTCTCATGAGACCCTAGCCTAATCGGTTGCAAAAAATTTAAAACAAAAAAATATTAATAAAAATTCAACGCCGTGTCGGTTTAGGGTTTAGGGTTTAGGGGGGTTTAAGCATCTCAATTATAGGTTAGGGTCTAGTTTGTGGTGGAAAACGATTAATCTTTTAAATTTTTTGCAATCGATTAGGTTAGGGTCTTAATCGGTTGCAAAAAAATTCAACCAAAAAAAGAATAAAATAAAAATTCAACGCCGTGTCAGTTTAGGGTTTAGGATTTAGGGGGGTGTAGGGGGGTTTAGGCATCTCGATTATAGGTTAGGGTCTAGTTTGTGCCGGGAAACGATTAACCTTATAAATAAGGACATTGTGTTTTACACTGTGTAGTTTAACCAGACAAATATTGTGTTTTAGGATGATCATTGTAGTTTAAACAGATGATCTTACAGGACTTGTGACAAATAAGGACCATGACTCTTAGATGAACATTGTACTATAACAGGATGCACATTTAAACTGGTGCAGTGAACAACACAAAAGTTTAATGAATTTTGTACTTTCAAAGTGACATTTCAGCACTAGTTGAATTTACATTGTAGCTACATACTTCTGGGATGGTAAGTCAAAACTTGAAGTCTATTGGCAGTGAGTTGAATTTACATCAGACTTTTTAGCTCTATACATTTTCTAGATAAAATCTATCGATCTTTCTCTGAAGCTCTTCCCTACACAAGTTGTAGGTTCTTGACTGCAGAATGTTAGCTAGATATTTCAGCCGCAACGTGTCAAGTTTTTTTTGCAGCTTTTTTCCTGCCCTCTGTTTAAAAGCGTCGAAAAGAAAACAAAACAAATATCAAGTGGGATCAGGTAAAAGCTGAAACCAATAGGAAAGGACTAAAATGATATAGTTTTACCGGTGTTGTGCCATATGCTGGAATGCCACATTTGTAATCCTTTACTGATCCATCGAATGTTTCCATGTGGCACATGGTATATATTGCACAATCCTTGTTGTTGGTCTGATCAGCCCACGGAAGTATAGGAACACTGTGGCTGAATGTTGTAATATCACGCTCCTCGGGCTTCTTCTCCTTCCTTTCCCCTTGGAAAGCTTCCCGAGCTTGCCGAAGCAACTCTTCCTTACGGACTTCTTTTTCGAATATCTCCCAAAGTTTTTGGGTACTCTTAGGCTGTTTGTCCATGAGCTTTCCTCGAAGGTTAGCCCCAGGACCGTAAGGAGACAGACCATTGACGAATTCTACCTAGACGACGAGGTCGTCTATCTGGTCGATGAGTATCAACTCCTTATTAAATCGGTCGTAATATAGGGCTAATGTTTCATTCTTTCCTTGCGGAACAAATGCCAGTTCATGCATAGACTTGGAGGCTCTCTTACTAGAAAAGAACCGAACGTGAAGCATCCGACCCAACTCCTGATACGAACCTACACTTCCCGGGGGCAGGCTGTCGAACCACGTTTTGGCTCTGTCAGTAAGAAAAGTTGTTAAGGCTTTGGCCATCAGTTCTCAGGATGCGCCTCGCAAATCCATAGCTACCGTGTAATCGGCAAAGAAGCTGACAGGGCACGAATCTCCTCCATACTTCTTAATATCTTCGGGTAACTTGAAGTTATCCGGCTTGGTGCATCTTCGGATATTCTCCACAAAGGGGCTTTGGCTGATCTCCTGTCCTCCAAGTATAGCTTCCAATCTTGGATCAAGCCCTGGGATCGAAGATGGCATACTTTCGTCCACCACAGGTGCAACTTATTGCGAGGCTTCTCGAACATGGGGGTGTTTAGCAGCAGGTTCGTCCCTTCCTTCCTCGAACAGTCGGTGCGATCTGCAATTTCTCTCCCACGTACTGCAAACTGGCACTCCGACCCCGATCTTTTCTTCTATAGTAATCTTCCTCGAACCGACGGATCCTCCTCCTAACTTCGGGGTATTTATCAGACAGGGCCTTTCAGAACTCCAGGTCATGGCCGTGCTCAGAAGGTCGGTGAGACTTAGCTGCCCCTGATGGTTTGCGAGAATGTCGGCAGTCACGAGCTTCCTCCTTAGAATGATGAGAGCGTCCGTGCCTACGCTCCGGGCGTCTTCGC